TTGCCATAGTAAAGAAATGCTATGCTCCCAGGCTGTGAATGAGGACTGGGTTCACAGTCTTCCACTCAATCTGCTTGAGACACCCCGTGCAAGTGTCACAATAACGACTTTGACGTATTTCAGCCATAAACATAAAAAACCGAAGAAAGAAAAACATGCAGCGCCAGGCTGCAAAATGAGAACCTATTAATAATACATCCTCTTTCTTTTTGTTACAGGAGCAGCGCTAAAAAGGTTAACAGGCTACGGAAATAAAGAGGATGATTTGGGGAGAATTTACATGGAAGCAGCAGTTACAAGCAGGAGAAACAGTAAAAAGGAATAAGTGGCATCCCTTTCGTTGGAACCCATTCAGAGTCCATATAGGGTATTTTTGTGTATGTTTGCATGTAAATAAAAATTCAGGGCATAGACAGCCAAGAATATTGACCCTGTGATAAACCCTACAGATCCATGCTGGGATTAGATCAGGACCCTGTACGAAGGAGGGCAATATTCAGCACCAGTCCTCTAAGAAAGTGGGTCAATGTTCTGTTCCCATGGGTGGAGATGTTGAGACTGACGGAAGGGGCAGGGAGACAAACTGGGATGCCCACAGGTCATGTTCTTGTGTAACGAAGCTCACACCCTGTAACAAGAGAGAAATACCACTGAATTAAAGTAGGTAAAGGAAGTGTCCGCTTGTATATGAGTGAGGTCTCATGCTGAAACAAGTTGTGACCACAAATGTACAACCTGACAAAGCTTAGTATACACAAGGATTTAAAAAAAAAAAACGTGATATCTGGAATCTGTAGAACAAACTTAGACACATTAATTTGCTACAGCCAAGGTCAGTCTGTCCAGAGGGACGGAAATCGACTCTTTAGTGAATAAATAACAAGGAATTTTATTGAATGTATTGGTCAAGGCTTAAAAATGACAGTACACATGGGGTACCAAGGATGCTGATTTGGGCCTATTAACTGTTACAGTAGGCAGAAGGAAATATGGACAAAATCATGTGATCAAGAAGGAGTTAGAAAGAGTAAGAGTTAGAATATAAACAGATCAAAGCAGAACCGGATCTAACTTGATTACTGTAGATATAAGTTTAGTTTAGTTACCTGTGGTCACATTGTACGACTGTACTCAATCCCACTCTTGGGGGACCAGGGAAGGAAGTTGCGTAGTAGCGAGTGTGCCTGACGGTAGATCCTTTGTGGCAGGGAACAAGGACTTAGACTGGCCAGAGCGGAACCCAAGTGCTGCAAATAATCCGTGCTGGGAGGTTAAAGAAAAAGACACGTGCATTCAGCCTGTATGGAAGGAATGAATAACAAACAGGGGGAGAGTAGAAGAAAATCGACTAAAGAACAGAAGTTGGAAGAATAAAACTTCAAGATTAAGTAGTCGTATTATCAAGACAGTGTGCAAGAGATGCAGGTTGCCCTACGCATTCCACTGTCCAACATTCAATTCTTACTAAATCTGGTCTAGGAATAAAACACTGTGTGGTAATGAAAGGTGGAATGGAAGATAGACTGGGGTTCCTTAACAGCAAATAGCAGAGTAGGGTAGACAGAAAACCATTCCTTGAGTAAGACAGAAAGGGGTGCAGCAGACAAAGTTCCATAAAGGATATATGACTGTCCACGGCGGGTGTCCTCCGTTGAGGTACAAGACATAAGTGTATGCATCTTGCAGTACACCTCGGATGGAGTAATAGCAGGGCAGGTAGTGGTGCTGGTGGAAGTGACGATTCTCGTAGAAGCGGATGGCGCTGCTGTTGGTGGTCAGGACGTGTAAGTACAAGGCTTTGCAGTGATCCTGGGCTGTACTAGTAATGTGGCTCTTCAAACTCTCCAATAGCAGAGAACCTGAGCAAAGAATCAAAGGTCAAAAAGAGGAGTTTATCCATTATATACCAAACTGCAGTGAAAAGATAACTAAATTACCAAAACAGGGGGTGTGGGGGGGAGACTGCAGACTTGATAGAAATCCTCTAACTCAGTTATAGTTACAGATTGGCTATTTCAGCCTCAATTTGCTAATTCTGTTGTTAATTCATTACAATTCACTATTTAGTGAATAAATCCTTTGTGTTCTTCCATGTCATAGCTCTCCATACATATAAAGGATTTCACCTGCTGGGGAATTTATATTGTTTAAATGGACTCAGGCATGTCGTTCTCTCTAGTACACTTTAGTCCAAGGATGGGCACCCTAAATTAAAAGAAAATAATTAATCAAAACATACTTTGCTTTGACACAAACCAGCCTGTGTTATATTTGAAGTGATCTCAGCCAGCATGATTTATTCAAAACGACCAATAGACCTAGATTTACGAGGCTGTGTCTCATGCCCAGATTTTTCTAGGCTTTGTGTTTGGCATCACTCCCATCATTATCAGATATCCAAAAAATGTACTCATTGGCCTACTGTGTATAAAAAACAATAAATTGTTTTGTTTTATGCGCTTAATCAGTAAACTGACAGCTGTGTTGCATTAAAAAAAAAATTAAGAAAATCTTCAATGTGACAATCTTGACGATTTTTCCAAAACTCAGGTATTCTGCTCCAAGTTTTGACAATTCGTTTTAAGCTCACAGTTGCATGAAATAACCCATTAACTAGTATCTAGGCCTCTAACTGTAAAACAGAGTATTAAAGTTTCATAACTAAAATCTTCGAAAGTGACTGTTCTCACTTTAAGTATGTATTTACAAAAATAGAAAAAGGCCAAAACCGAAAGCCATTAGGACGTAACAGGCCAATGGGTGGGTATTACCCTCAGGAGAGATGAAGGTAAGGGTTTCTTACGGGCAGAGCTGTGGGAGCGACTCATGCAGGACGCTAAAAACAAAGGAGATGCAATGGTCCTAATAGGACCCTTTTCCTTGACATTCTATTGAATGAGCAATTGTGACACGGACATTTGCTTTCAGAGTCAATGCACAAGGGATAGCCGGGACCAAGGGAACATGGGGAGTGTCTCGTGTGCCCATTTCTTTTTGCCACTGGACCTTTGCTGGATCTGTCACAGAGGCTCCCTAGTCTTGGTTGAGAACAGTTCCCATGGGCCGACTGGTTAGTGCACGGGGCTACCGCTCCTGCCGACGCCCTATCCTTGTTTTTACATTTAGTTATTTTTTTTGTATTTTCCTTTGTATACACGCAGGGATTTTCGTTCCACTTGGGATGTTGAGTAACAGACCCCATCACTCTCCTCACCTGCAGAACTTGCCCAACTCCAATGACTCCTAAGCAACTCTTCAAACCGGCCACACAACGTACTATCGATCAACGCTAAGGGCCTGCATATACCAGATATACGCTCTCATGCCCTTAGACAATTTAAGAACCAAGTGGCACATGTTTATATACAGAGAGACACGCTGCAGGGAAGGCAGTGCCCCTACGTTGGCCATCCACCAATGCACAGATGGTTACACAAGCAAAAATCCTAAGAACAAATCCAAAAGGAATGGCCATTCTTATTCATAAGTCCTTCCAATTCACACCGGTGCTATGGTAGACAGAGAGGGACGGTATGTCTTCGTAAAAGGCAAGACATTAGTCAAAACCTACACCCTCACAAACGTATACCTACCAAACTGCAGACGGCATAGGTTTCTGAAATCAACTCTATGAGCTCTCTCGTGCTATAGTGGTATGGTGGTATGCCTGATCATGAGGGCACTGCTCCCCTTGCTGGACTCTTCATCGGGAACCCTTTAAGTCCATATACTGCTGTTATTACGCATGGATTTACACGAACACCGACTGGTAGATTGCTGTAAAGCACTACACACCATAGATAGCAAATACACATTTTAATCCACTCCAAACAACACTTACTCCAAACTTGATTTTTTTTTTCTCCCCCACTATCACCTGACTGACATGAAACAGGTCCAAATAGACACAGTCACTTGGTCCAACCACGCTCCAGTCCTCGTGATGCTGACATCTCCATAACAAGGGACCCCCACTGGAGGCTCAATGAATCTCTTCTCACAGACACATTAATAACTCAGGAAACCCAAACTAGATTTACCCAATACTTCACAGAAAACGTCACAGAGGGCATCACACCACTGCCTCTGTGGGAAGCCCACAAGTGCATACTAAGCGGGTACTTTATTTCTACAAGCACTGCTCTAAAGAAGACATGAACTGCCCAGATCTCCCGATTGCTCCAAGACATGCACAACCTTGAGACAGCATATAAAACAAACTCAAGACCCCTCAGACTTAAAAACAATCACCAGTTCATGGAGAGAACTTTTGAAACTACTTAACACCTCATACCACAGGTCCTGGCTACATACCAAGACTTTATGAAAATGCAAAAAATGTGAGGCATTATTAGCCAGCATGTTAATGAAAAAGAGAACAGGATCGTACATATCGCAAATTGATATGATCGTCCTTGCTCTACTGTTGCATTATTTTCAGGACAAGAATCTAATAAATAGAATCTATTTACCAAAACCTTCAAAAACATCAAGTAAGCTGAGCACATATTGCTACTTTTAAAACGGAACCAGCTCCTTCTAAATGAAATAGATGAGACATACACAGTCTTAGTAAAGAGATTATCTTATCACATTGGCTGATGATATCAGTTTACACACTGTTCCATTTCCTCACCAATTCCCTGCTTGCGGAACTCCTTAACCACTCCAAGACTGAGGATATAAGCTACTTGTGTGTCACCGGAGAAGCTAGAAGCCAAAATGTCACCGTCCTGCAAAACAGAGACAAATCAAGTTGACCCTTTTTGAATTTTTCTTTGAGTGATGAACATAGCTTTACACCTTCCTGTGGCCTGATTACACACACAGCATGGTGAGCCTTCACCGACTGCAAAGCAATCTATTCATGTTTCCCACCTCTTTGTGCACTTTGGTCCTGCTCTTTATTTCGGCCACAATCATGCCCATGATTTGTCCATGGTACGTGGCAGCCAAAGAGAAGAATTTCTTGTTGGATGTGATGTCTCTGTACCAGGAATCCGGGTACCTGCGGAGGGAGAATAGATGACAATGTTTGGCACTCCGGCTTTCATGGGCTGGCTGGGCATCTTTAGTAACATAGACCACAACAGCTGCAGTGATAAAAGCAAGCAAAACCTGGTGTAGACATGGACACCCAGCGGCACTAACTATGATTCAATGGCACATGGCGACCCATCTAAACCATGCGTTAGAATCTCACAAACGAGAAAAAGAAAACCCAATAAAATACACACAAAAAAACTAAATCAAACGTACTCGATGGGGAACCAGTCGGCACATAGCTCTTTCACGGTGTTTATGTCATCATGGCACAGGAAACGTAGAACAGTGTCAGCAAGGGCAGCGGGCGCGTCCTCCTTGCTCATTCACACCTGGCGGGAATAAGAAACACCATCTAAATACTTTAACTCAGGAAGTCAGGAGAAGGTATTCCAATACCGGCAAGCCTGCTCGCCGATAGCGGACGGCAGTCATTGGAGAAACAAGACAAACAGAGCATCTAGGTTACAGAAGGCGTAAACGATACACCTCTCCACGCAGTCACATTCTGTAAAGAGCGTTAGACCAGGGGCATAGGGCTAATCATCTGCCAGAGACTTACTTGTTCTGGGGGTATGCTTTCCCCCTGCTGTTCACTGTGTATCAAAGAGCAAACTCTGCAGGTTTTGCTTTCAAATGAATAATTTTTGTACCTCTATTGCTTTCGTCTTGTTTTTATTTATTTTTTTTATTCACCATAGTGTTAAAGTTCTAAATAAGATAATGTAATGACTATTTTCTTATGGGTAATGTGATCTTTGGCAATGGGCCAAGTACCTATAAACAGCCAGACACAGGCAGTCGTATAAACCTAGACATAGACAGGCACAGTGACTATAAGCACTCTGAAAGGGCAGGCAATAGCACCTGTACACAGGTATAGATACACCACACAGAGGCAGCCACATCTTCTCAGATATAGCCAGCCATGGGTACCCAGACACAGCCAACCATAGCAGTTACATGTACATGCATAGAGGTTAACACAGGGAAGGAGTTTATTCATGCGTGAGATAGGCATAAGGCTATCCTAGATATAAGATAAGGCCAGGGACTAATGAAAGTATTTAGAAAATTGGGCAGACTAGATGGGCCGAATGGTTCTTATCTGCCGTCACATTCTATGTTTCTATTACACAGCCAATCCTAGCAGTTACATGTACCCAGACAACCAAAATTTTATTAAAGGACACGGAGGCTCTTATTAGGCTTTATCTCTTTCTTTATTCCTCAGCAGCAAAGAAAGGATATTGATATTTTTAATATAGCAATAACAAAAAGATAAAACAAATACCCTTAAGGGTTAACCATATAACATTCCATATCCATTAACCAATAGGATCAGTCCTTGTACTATATCCCTTCATGTGAGGTAAACTACTTCCTCTTTCTTTGCTGCTGCCTCAGCTAAGTACCACATATTTTCAGCTCCTCAAATATTGTGTTGTTCAGTTTTCTCCTGATTCATATTATTATTGTTTTCTACTGTTCATTTTAAATATCAGTTTTTCTTTGTCTAATATTCAATTTGTATGTGTATTTGACTACTGTTTGTTTTACTCTGTTTCCCAGTGCAGGGTGCTTGCCTCCTCCCTGAGGCAAGCCCCATCCTGCACTGCCGTTTTCGGGTTGTTTATAACCCGTCCCTCATTCCACTTCCCCGGGTGGGGGTCACTCAGGCATCCTCTCCCCACCCCCCCTCACCCCCCCCGGCCCGGAACGAGCAGTTTCGCCGCCGGGCGGGCGGCTGTTTCTTTGGCGGCCGTTTCTGCCGCTCGCGCATGCGCGGTCCGCACTCGCGCATCGCGGCGGCCATCTTAACTGAGGGCAATTTTGCCGCTCTTTTCGCCCGCGGTCCGCGCCACTCTGACAGGGAGGGGCGCGAGCTGATTGGGTGAGGGAAGTGTTGGGCAGCTTACCAGTGTCCCCCAGGAGTCATTCCTGAGGGAACACTCGGTAAGCTGCCATATTATATGTGCCAAAAATACTTTGTGCCTCTTTATAACTGTGCCTGCCTTAAATTTAACTCAAGTGCTCAGCCACTTGCCCTATACTGCTGGTTTTATTAACCTCTGCAGTGTTGAAAGTGTGCATTTTGTCCAATAGTGACGGTTTATTTCAGTGCCTCCCTCTACTGTTACTGTGCACATTCCTGATCACTATGCAGTCCCCTGCTGATAAAAAGACAGTTACCCCCCCTCCCACCTCTACTAAACCCAGCAAGCGTGATAAGACAGCCATGTCTACAGACGCTGCTGTCATTGGGGGAGTTGGGGACGCATCCCAGGAGCACGTGAACTCAGAGGAGTTCCAGGCGCTCCTGGATGCCACGATGAGTAGGTCTGTTACACAGGCCATTTTTACCGCCATGGGGGCGATGTCGGACACCCTGTCCCACTCTATTTCCTCTGCTATTAGGGCATCCGGTCACAACCCGGGCTCGGCACCCCCTATATCCACTGATAGCAAGCCTATGGTCCCTAGCGGCCGCAAGGCTACGTGCAAATCGCACCATCTGTCAGGTGCTACCTCCAGAACCAGTAAGACGGACAGGTTGCGCCCTGTTGAAATTGATGACGTGGTGCTCCCACGTAAAAGAGCCCCCCGCCGGGCAAAAACGGTGCGGACTTGGAAGAGGGCAAAAGCCCTATCTGATCCGTCCGACTCCGACTCGGACTCAGAGGAGGTATCAGATGGGTCCGATGACATCGACCCAATTAATTCAGACAATTCGTCCCCCGAACGCAGCGACACCGCGCCTCCAGCTTTAGACGCGGAGCGCGAGACGGATGAGTCCGCTGTATTAGACCCCCAAGGGGAACCCCTTTTTGATCCCGACACCTTGCATAATCCGCGTTCAGCGGAGTGGTACCCCACAACTCATGTGGCCGTTTATATTGCGACTAGGGTCAGAAAACCCCTCGACAAGGCCACAAGAAGCAAACTGAGGGCGGAATGCCCAAGGCCCACTGTCCCAGACATGGCTTGCGTGACCCCTGAAGTGGATCCCAAGGTCGCCCAATTCCTGGGTAAGTCAGGTTGGAGGGCCAAGAAGGGTTTGGACTACTCCTTAAAACACTGCCAGGACAAGATCCTGGACATACTCGGGCCTATAGCTAAAATCTTCGATATGGTCGAAGCGGCCCTTACTGGGGGGACCCCAATTGACTTGATGGCCATCAGAGGCTGGATTCAGAGGGGCATATGCCTAATAGGAAATGCCAACACCGCTTTGGCCACAGAAAGGCGTAAAGCCATATTGATGAAAATCGAGCCAAAACTAGTGCATTTGGCAATCTCTGAGCCTGGAACACAGGCAAAAGGTCTCTTATTCGGAGACAATTTTGTTAAGACCCTGGGTAATTACGTAAACACATTTACGGCACTAGATAAGGCACAACATAATATGAAGCGAGTGTTCTCGCAAAAGGTTTTCGGGGGGGCCGGCAGACAGCGGGGCCGTCTGTCCGGCCGCCCCTCCCGGACTCAGTTCCGGGGCTATCGAGGCTCCGCCACACCACGGTTCCACCCACCCGAACCGAGGGCACAATCACCATTCTTCCCGACCAGGGGCAGATCATGGCATCCACGCGGAACCAGGGGATCCTCCTATGGCCGTCGGCCTTATGGTGAGTCACTCCACATTACGCACCTTTCCCTTTGTACCTGTGGGGGGCAGATTGTTTCATTTCCAGGATGCGTGGCACAACCTAACCTCAGATACATGGGTCCTAGAGACCATCCTCGGCTATCACATCGAATTTACACAACAGCCGATTCAACTCTCATTGCCACATCGGATTGTTTTTTCCCCACTAGACAAACAACTAGTGTTAAAAGAGATTCGCACACTGGAGAAAAAATGTGCGATATACAGGGTTCCCATTACCGCCCCCGGGTTCCTAAGCAACATCTTCCTAGTACCCAAGAAAGGTGGAGGCACGAGGCCAGTAATAAACTTGCGGCCTCTCAACGCCTTTGTCACATACCATCACTTCAAGATGGAAGGAATACACTGCCTCCGAGACCTACTAAGACTGGGAGACTGGATGGTAAAGTTGGACCTCCAGGATGCATACCTCACAATACCGATTGCCGAGGACTGTCAGCAATTACTGCAATTCCAATGGGAACAGACGATGTGGCGTTTCCGCTGCCTCCCTTTCGGCCTGTCTTCAGCCCCGTGGTGCTTCACCAAGCTGCTGAAACCGGTAGTTGCCCTCCTTCGCAGCAGAGGTGTACGTCTGATCATATACCTCGACGACATGCTGATCATGGCTCAAGACACACAGCTACTGAATCAACACCTATTCTGGACAGTGACCCTTTTGCAAAACCTAGGTTTCCTAATCAATTGGGACAAATCGATCCTACAACCTTCACACTCGATAGAGTTTTTAGGCTTCGATATAGACGCAGTACACGGAACGCTCAGTCTTCCTACCGCGAAAGTAAAACTTATCAAGAAGGAAATCCGGAGGACGTTGACTCGACCAGTCTTAACCCTCCGACAGCTAGCCAGGATAATTGGCCTGCTCTCGGCCTCTATACAAGCGATCTTCCCAGGCCCTCTCCACTACAGATCCCTACAACAACTCAAGGCAACTCACCTACGCTTGGGTCACTCCTATTCAGATTCTGTACCTCTAGACTGCGCGGCAAAAGAGGAACTGGCATGGTGGCTTCAACACATGGAAGCATGGAACGGCAAGGCAATCTTCGGCGCCACTCCGGATCTAGTCATAGAATCCGACGCGAGCAGATTGGGGGGCCCGCTGTGGTCCTACCTCTACAGGTGGAAAATGGTCTTCCGAAGAAAAAGAACTCCACATCAATGGTTTGGAACTCCTGGCTGGGTCATTCGCCCTACGGAGCCTCCTCGGACACACGACCAATTGTTCCATACTCCTGCGCATGGACAATGTCTCAGCCGTCCGCTACATCAACCACTTGGGTGGCACAAGGTCCTCAACCCTCACGAACTTGGCGAAAGAATTCTGGCATTTCTGCCTGAGTCGCAACATATCCGTACAGGCGGAATACCTCCCAGGCCTCTCCAACACCGTAGCGGATTGGCACTCCAGGCATTTACGAGACAACAGTGCATGGCGATTGAATCGCACAGTATTCCAGAAGCTCCACCAACTCTGGGGACCGATGCACATCGACCTTTTTGCCTCCCGACTGAATGCTCAACTCCCCTCATTCTTCAGCTGGAGACCGGACCCAGACGCCACGGCAGTGGATGCCTTCCTACAAAATTGGCCGAACACCAGGCTATACGCCTTCCCCCCTTTCTCACTCATAGCGCGAACTCTCCTACACTTACAGCGCTCCCGAGCTTCGTTGGTTTTGATAACACCGTTCTGGACAGCACAGCCATGGTTCCCTTCGCTCATGGAAATGTCAATCGACCTCCCCAGATTGATTCCAGGGAGCACGGAATTATTATCAGACCCCGATGGGAACTCTCATCCACTTCTGGTGCAAGGTCATCTCAGACTCCTCACATGGCTCCTCTCCGGGGACCCTGGACCATGCCGAATGTTTCACAAGCAACTTTGGACTTATTGGCAGGAGCTTGGGCCCCAGGGACAAGACGTTCCTATGCCCATGCCTGGAACACATGGTGTAGTTGGTGCGTGGAACGGCACGTGGATCCCATACGTGCTCCTATAAACCAGGTTTTGGGTTTCCTTACTACCCTTTATGATCAAGGCTTGGCTTATCGCACCATAAATGTCTACAGGTCAGCGATTTCAGCTGGGCACACTGGTTGGGAAGGTTTCCCGGCTGGGAAGCACTTATGGATCTGTCGTCTCCTACGGGGCATAAAATTTGCACGTCCGCCACAACCTCGTTACACGGCCCTATGGGATGTGAATATGGTCCTTCGTTTGTTGCAAGATTGGCCCCAAACTCGAACCTAACACTCAAACAAGTGTCTGCAAAATTGGCGATGCTTCTATGCTTAATTTCCTGCAAACGGGTATCAGACGTGAGGGCCTTGGATATCGATGCACGATCATTCACACCGGATGGTGTCCTGTTTAATATCACCAGACGTACAAAGTCAAACACCACTTCAGTCTTCTATCCCTCCTTTCCTCACAACGCTAACCTCTGCCCGGTAGCATGCCTGCAGGAATATGAATTACGGACCCAGCCATTCCGGAACCCAAACACACATAATTTATTCTTGGCAGTGAGGAAACCTCATCAACCAGTATCCACGGGAACTCTGACACGTTGGGTGAAATGGATAATGTCAAATGCTAACATCGACACGGCCGCTTACGGAGCACACTCTACCAGAGGCGCTATGGCCTCTAAAGCATTCTCCATTGGATGTAAACTGGAAGACCTCCTCCGCACAGCTGACTGGTCCCGAGAATCGACGTTCAAGGAATACTACTTTAGACCAACAGAACATATCTCATCTAGGGTCATATCACAGCTTTAAACTAGCCTAATAAGAGCCTCCGTGTCCTTTAATAAAATTACCAGATTTTACTAATTACATGACGTAAAGTCATGATTTTATAAAGGACACGGAGGCGAGTATTAGCCCGCCCACTGAAAGGTAAGCCGTACATGCATTTTTTCCCACCCACTCGCTCATAAACAAGTTATGGCATTTTGGATGTTTAGAATCTAAGTTATAAGGTAGTAACTGCAATTTAGACTGATTTATGCTAGAATGTCGCAAGCAATGTTTTTCAGATATAAACGTTTGTCTAAGGACCGGTACAACATATATGCATGACAACGATATTCGAATATATTTTACCATATATCTCTCTGTCTCCTACAGCTTAACCCTGTGATGACATAACCGGGATCGTCCACTATCTCGACATTCTTTGGAACATTCGCCGGAACCCCTACGAAAGATTACCCAAGTTTGAGAAAATTTTTTCCCTTGTTGATGTGTTCAGCTTCGGCATCAGCCAGAAAGAGGAAGTAGTTTACCTCACATGAAGGGATATAGTACAAGGACTGATCCTATTGGTTAATGGATATGGAATGTTATATGGTTAACCCTTAAGGGTATTTGTTTTATCTTTTTGTTATTGCTATATTAAAAATATCAATATCCTTTCTTTGCTGCTGAGGAATAAAGAAAGAGATAAAGCCTAATACTCGCCTCCGTGTCCTTTATAAAATCATGACTTTACGTCATGTAATTAGTAAAATCTGGTAATTTTACCCTGGTGTTGCCAACTAAACGGAATGCCATCCTGCACATAGTATATAAAACCGTCTATTAGCACCATTTATTAGGATTGACAAACTGTCGTTTACTATATGACATCTAGTGGCACACAGAAAAGGTAGCCCGGTGGTATGGAGGATTCATATGCTGCAAGAAGAAAATCAGAGGATCCTACTGATTCCCACTACAAGCCTTCCACGAATAAGTAGCTAATTTATTTTCAGCAATATATGAAGACTACATATTAATGGGCAGCTATTTTCACGTGCCAATTGAAGCACAAGTTATAGGATTTGTTTTTAATTGACCAATCAACAACTCCCTATACTCTGTGAGGATACATAAAGCAGATTTTTAAACACCTCACCTTGTATCCGGAGCAGACAGGCCTCCGGATCACTTCACCCAGCTGAGGCCCGAATTACATCAATGTCTAAAGTAGCTCCATGCACTGTAAGAGGGGGAAAAACAGAGGCTATATCATCCTAGTGTCTCTGAATAGAGGCCTCTGTTAAATATTTTTGGATAGGCTGTTAAAACTATATTTTGCAAAACAAAATTATATATGTACAGTATAATATAGAAAAAAATATTAAAATATTTTTTAAAAACCTTAAACCATTTTAAAAGTTTATCATAGCATTTATTTGATATGTGCATTAAATGACATGCAGAACACCCACCCCAAATGTACTTATTTAAATTATATTCTAGAATCCCAGTTTAAGAATGTTGTAAAATCTGCATATCACTGTCATACTGTAGATCACAGTATTTAGAGCAACTATTCCCCAGGCAAAAGCACAACTTTTCAGGATTTTTTTTTTTTTTTTTGCTTTAGCCTAAATAATTTGTTCAATGTTAAGAATAGCAAATGTATATTCCCCTTGCACAGGTGATCCAGCTAATTTCAAGCACTAATAAAATCACTATTTAGTAAATAAGCCAAGTAGGAACTTAAGTGATTCAAGAGTACTCACAATTAAATGTCCACTCAATGAAGGACAAACCCATACATTAAAATATATAAACAGGGACATCAAAACTCTCCAAAGAGGATAGCATGTGGCCTACGCATTTCGTTCCTTGAAAGCGTGTTTTGATATTGAACAAAACGCGCAGTCTATATGCTATCCTATTCGGTACTCAGCTGTGGCATTACTGCAGTGGGTTTTGCCGTGACATTTAGGCATACTGCTGTTTTCTAATAATCCCAAGAGGTGATTAATGCTTAGATGAGCCTTTTCATATATTTACATGTCTGTTGCGAAATGATTAGCAGTAGCTTTTGCAAGCTCCAATTTGTATAGATTTTGCAAAAATACATTTAAATCTTGAAGCATTCGGCATCTTAATCCTGCCTCCCCTATCCTACCTTCTGCATTCTCACTTCTTGTGGTTTCCAGTACCTATGTAAAGCTCCCTTCTAACCTGCAATGTCCACTAATACAGTGTATTTTATATCTAGATAGCCAGCAAAAGATTCCTGCAGTGGTAGTTCAGCTGTCCACTAACTGAGCTACAAGTCCTAAAAACACCTGCTCTGTACAGAACCAAGGATGTGCACATAGAGCTTTGAAGTCAGGCCTTCCCCTACCCAGTGTGAAGATAACCAAGTAGTTTGACAGGGAGTTGTATCCCATGTGTAGGTTAAAGATTATCTCAGTTCTAAAATCTGCATATAGATTTTAACAGACAGTACCAGATCTTCCCTTTAACCCTTCCAATCCTGCGCTACATTACTAGCGTTGTTTTTTTTGTTTTTTTAAAGCATATTCTGCTTCTATTAGTTATCTAATCAGTGCAATAAAAAGAAAGGGTCAATTTCATCCAAGAGTGCCCTTTAAAAAAAAAAAAAAAAAAAACACTATGCACCTTAATTACAAAAGTCCACTACAGTTGTTATGGTATCAAATGTGCTTTGTTACTAGGTGCCTCTGCAGCATCCAGTTTTCTCAGAGCTGGGGATGCCCAATGTCAGTTTTGTTCATTATATGAACTTATTTGACTCATCCATTGGAGATGAGCACTCAGATAACACTCTCAGACAACAAATGAATGTCTACATGGGAATATGGCTTGTCCTGCTCAAGAAGACAGGGAGTAGTGTCAGTGCCCAGCAGGACCCAGGTAATTTCAAATTGTGCTAAATGAATGGTATGACAGGTTATGCTGGGAAAGCACTAAGGAATTCCTAGCACTACTTTAATTCAGTATAAAAGTTTACTTTTTTATTTTTTTTTGGTGACAGATGTTTTGTTTAAGGTCATGATACCTCAGGGAGCCTTTTTCACCTTTTTGTGAATAATCTCATATGTTGTTTTTTTAGCCTGGAGAAAATATGTCTACATATTGGCTTTAAAATAACTTGTTATAAATCACTGAATCATGAACATAAATAGCGATTAATAAGTCAAGCTGCTACAAAGTACCAATTATTCACCAGCCTCCAAGCTGTTCATCACAATTAATGTCCCAGTTTCCATCTACAATGCGAGGAGACAAACTACTGGAATGGATTCTATAATGGAGATTATATCAACCGAATGACACGCAACATAAGCTATTCTCAAACCAATTCAACCATACAACCCACATTTTCCCAAATGCTCTTTAAATCTGGCATATCCTATTAATATTAGAAATATCATATCTACTCATTGTGACCCAGATATTTGAGGTAGGGGTCATATATGTTGGTAATAGAGATAACAGTTCTCATGTGTGGTATCATGTAACTATGTAACTACATCCAGGGCAGGGGGAAGTGTCCGACTGACCCCCTAGGCAGGGGGAAGTGTCCGACTGACCATTAGGCAGGGGAAGTGTCCGACTGACCCCATTAGGCAGGGGGGTGTCCGACTGACCCCATTAGGCAGGGGGGTGTCCGACTGACCCATTAGGCAGGCTCTTGACCGACCACAGGCAGGGGAGTTTGACCGCACCATTAGGCAGGGGGGAGGGTCTGGCTGACCATTAGGCAGGGGAGGGTCTGGCTGACCATTAGGGCAGGGGAGGGTCTGGCTGACCACAGGCAGGGGAGGGTCTGGCTGACCATTAGGCAGGGGGGTGGCCCCGGGCTGACCATTAGGGCAAGGGGAGGGCCCCGCCGACCATTAGGGCAGGGGAGGGTCCATTGACCATTAGGCAGGGGTGTTTCAGCTGACCATTAGGCAGGGGAAGTGTCTGACTGACCATTAGGCAGGAGTGGCCCAAGGACCATTAGGGCAGGTGGTGTCTCATTGACCACCAGGGCAGGGGTGGTGGCCCCGCTGATCATTAGCAGGCCCCGCTGACCACAGGGCAGGGGTGTCCGCTGACCATTAGGCAGGGGTGTCCCCGACCATTAGGCAGGTGTCTCGCTGACCATTAGGCAGGGGGTGTCTCATTGACCATTAGGCAGGGGGGTGTCTCTCACTGACCATTAGGCAGGGGTGTCTCACGACCATTAGCAGGGGTGTCCTCTGGCTGACCATTAGGCAGTGGGGGGTGGCCCCGCTGACCATTAGGGCGGGGTGTCTCAGCTGACTACGCCAGGCAGGGTAACCGCTGACCATTAGCAGGAAGTGTCCGCTGACCACAGGGCAGGGAAGTGTCCACTCACCATTAGGCAAGGGGAGAGTCCATTGACCATTGTGGGCAGGGGGATGCCTGGCTGACCATTAGGGCAGGGGAGCCGCCCACACCCATTAGGCAGGAGCGTCTGGCTGACCATTAGGCAGGGGGAAGTGTCTCGCTGACCATTAGGCAGGGGGGAAGTGTCTGACTGACCATTAGGCAAGGGGAGTGTCTGGCTGACCATTAGGCAGGGGGAGGGTCTGGCTGACCATTAGGCAGGGGGAGCGTCTGGCTGACCATTAGGCAGGGGGAGCGTCTGGCTGACCATTAGGCAGGGGGAGCGTCTGGCTGACCATTAGGCAGTGGGAGCGTCTGGCTGACCATTAGGCAGGGGGAGCGTCTGGCTGACCATTAGGCAGGGGGAGCGTCTGGCTGACCATTAGGCAGGGGGAGTGTCTGGCTGACCATTAGGCAGGGGGTGTCTGGCTGACCATTAGGCAGGGGAGGGTCTGGCTAACCATTAGGCAGGGGAAGTGTCTGACTGACCATTAGGGCAGGGGAGGTCTGGCTGACCATTAGGCAGGGGGGGTCTGACTGACCACAGGCAGGGGAGCCGCCTGGCTGACCAGGCAGGGGGAGTGTCTGGCTGACCATTAGGGCAGGGGGGTGTCTGGCTGACCATTAGGCAGGGGAGGGTCTGGCTAACCATTAGGCAGGGGAAGTGTCTGACTGACCACAGGGCAGGGGAGGTCTGGCTGACCATTGGGGAGGGTCTGACTGACCATTAGGCAGGGGAGGGTCTGGCTGACCATTAGGGCAGGGGAGGGTCTGACTGACCATTAGGCAGGGGGAAGTGTCTGACTGACCATTAGGCAGGGGGAAGTGTCTGACTGACCATTAGGCAGGGGGGGGTGTCTGACTGACCATTAGGCAGGGGGAGGGTCTGACTGACCATTAGGCAGGGGGAAGTGTCTGACTGACCATTAGGCAGGGGGGGTGTCTGGCTGACCCCTAGGTCAGTGATGGCTAAGCTGTGGCACTCCAGCTGCTATGGACTACACTTCCCATGATGCTCCCACAGGCCCTGGCTGGCTAGGAGTCCTGGGCTGGGTAGCCATGCCAGCTGGGGCTCCATAGATGAACCATAGCGCCCTGTCCAGGGTGGAGGTTACCCCTGTCATACTAAGGCTGCCAATCAGCCCCCCAGGGCCAGCCCCCACCGCCCCCCCCGGGTTAAATAGTTACCCCAGTTATCCACCGCTCGGCACAGAAAGCTGAGGCCCCGGTGTCACGCTGTCTCCCGTTACTTCCGCCCCAGTGCTCGTTGTTTTGCTGTCACCGCTACAGGAGCTCGAGTGGGTCAATCCCCAGCCGCGGCGGCGCGCTCTCGCTGCGCATTCTCCAAGGCGCGGGCACTGGCAAGTCTCCATAGCAACCATAGAATGCCGGCCTGCCTGGCGCGCGTGCGCAGATGGAATGGAATGCTAGTCTTCCTTTACCATGATGGCTGCACTCCCTGGCTGTGACTGTGACTATCACACACTGTGTGTTTTATGGGTGCCTTTACAATATGTGCTATACATTTAAAGTGATGGAAAACAAAAAAAAATACTTTTGTGATTCCTGTTTATTATTTTCTGTGATTCTGCAGGTTTTGCAGCTTCTGCATTGGGCATAGTTGCCAACTGTCCCGAATTTGCTGGGAAAGTCCTATGTTCTGGGATCTTGTCCTAGAAAAAAATACTCTTTTAGTGATGTAAAAAACTTCGGTTTGCATCATTAAAACAAATATGTGTAGGAAGGTATTCAAGCCTAGAGCACTTTCATTTAATATAAACATTTTAAATAGTGCCCCGGAGATTATTCCTTTTATAGATAGAAAATAGTCTGGCCTAATCTTCAAAACTAGTGCTTTGAGGATTGTTAGATACAACAGGCTTTTTTCAATCACATTGATATGTCCATGAGCATGAGAAGTATTATCAGTTTAAAAAAAATATTGTAAATACAATATTGTAGTCACTTGCCAGAAATTAACCAGTGAACTTCAATTTTTCTGACCAAATTGAAAGAAAGAAAAAATAAACCAGCACAGTGGTTTAACAAATATGGCTGCTGGCTCTGCTGCGTAATGTCTTAAAGAAGAGATGTCTTTTGGTCCACAAATCAATTTCCCCATATTTTGCAGCAATTAATGCAGTCAACTATTGATAAAATATTGGACTATTCCACCGTAGCCAACCATCACAAAAAGTGTTGCTTTCAGCTGGTACAATACGTTGTAAGGTTTCCTGAAATGTGTGGTTTATGTCCATCATGTCCTGCAAATCCATTTACTTTTTCTATTTATATTTTCACTTGTTCATTTCCATAAAGTTTGGCAGGGATATCAGAAGAAAGAAAGATACATTTTTTTTAAAACTCCTATTATTTTTTTATTAAATCCACGGACTCAGATCCTAACTCCAGTGATATTCTATTCAAACAGGAAATGGCTCATGTGTTGAAGGAATTCTTGGTTAACCCATAGGATTCCATAAGAGAGCTATATGTTTGCCATAACACTAGCTGCACTTACTACCGTTTCCTGGGGTAACAGTAAATATAAAGATATATTTTTCTTAGTAGGCATCAACCCACTTCCTGCTACAGCATAGAGCTTTTGCAATTTCTGCAACAATAAGGTATTTGGTATCATGCAAATATTTAACTACCGTATATATAAATATTTTGTTTTGAAGGCTATTTAAAGAAATTAAAAAAGGTGTACTATTTACTGGTGTAATTGTAACGTTATAATAAATTAATTTAAAAAAAATAAATAAAAACATTATAAAAATCCTGCAGATATACAAGGATGATTATTGCATGCTATTCGGGTGCATTTTTGCATTTTGTGCTTGGGGTGTCCATCTAAGGAACATCTCTTAAATGTAGCCCCACACTTAGGCAAATACAACATTCTGTTTTATGATAATATGAAATCACTACAACACTTTCTGTTTTTAAACATCTTGATCATTGGTGAATTGGTAGAGCAGGATAATGGCTGGCAATCCAAAAACCAAACAATAAAACAGATTTTTAGGTTTACCAATACTGTAAAGTACTGGATATGTTAGTTCCAAAAATACATAAGTCAAAAATATTAAAACATTTATATAAAACATACATGTACAAAACATTATGTTACATCATCGTTAAAATAGCAATATGACTAAAAGTGTGGCTCATAGCTGGGCAATTTACGTGGGCTTTTTATATTATAAAAGGTGGTATGGAGTTGGTGTATCCATTTATTTACTTTATAGTCTGCACGACAGCAAAGATAGAAAATGTGCAATTCTTTTTCAATTTCTCCATAATTAAATTTTTTGTGAATACACCTAATAATGTTGATTTGTTGTAAAATGTTCACTTTAACACCGTAACAGCAGAGGCGATTGTCTAAGTTCTAAATCAAAACAAAGCTAGATTTTGTGCTACATGTGAAGCTTGGAGTGTCCCTATAATAATATAAAATCACCCGGTATAACTAACTGTAACCTAACCTATTCAGTGCACCTAACTTGTGCTGCCCTTACAAAGCCAGTGTATGGCTATTGAGTATGACTGACACAAGAAGAGGTTTTAAAACAGCATTGTTTAAACCAGAATTTAGACTCACTTTAGAAACAAAGAACAGTTTATTTTTATTTTTTTTATTGTAAACCTACCCGATAATATTGGGTGGAGAATGGGATTCCTGTAGATACTATTTTAAACAGGAAAATGCCCTGTAAAAAATAAAGTTTTGATTCTACGAACGGTACATGCCAAAACACCGATCCTCTGAGTGAGAAGGATATTAAGGAGTAACCAAACTTCCAATTTGACATACAGTGCATATTATTATAAATAATGCACTACCATTATGTTTGGAAAATGTGCAGGGCAGTAAGCTTGTCTTTCACCACGAAGGATAGTTTTCACCTTAAAAAGCAGCACTGGAACGATGTACGCATGACATTCTCTAAAGATGGGTTGAACAAAATGTATCTTTCAATCTGCCGGTGGAATAGAATTCCTATTAGGTTCAAGCTAAAGGAACATTTGTCCAAAAGCAGTTGGAGAGATACATTTTGCTGACCACAGCTCTAAAGCAATTTTGTCCCAGTGCTGTGAGGGATCTGTAGGTCAGTGCGAAGGGATTGTGCAGCTGCTTTCCAATCTCAACAACGCAAATGTGAATGTCTGTCCCTGAAACCCGGGACAGCTCAGTGCATGGGTCGAAATGGGAAATTCATCCCGGGTAAGAAAGTCTGTACAGGGTGTCCTGGTATGGCTGAGTGTGCTGGCAATGCTGCATGAGCTGGCAAGGCAGCATGTGTTGGCAAAGACGCATGAGCTGGTATGGTGGGGTATCCAAGGGGTGGTGTGTGGATGTGAGGATAATAGCCAGGGGTCAGAGTGGGGTGAGCGGGTGCGGGCTGCACCGGACCAGAAATCACCAACTGCATAAGGCTGTAAACAAGAAGAGATTAAGATGGATTAATAATGTCACAGTGCAAATGGCTTTACATCCCAAATCCATCATATTAGAACATTGAAAACTATAAACATCCTTGACACCATCAGTAGTGAAATACTGGGAACATATACAACCACTTCAGTAAGCCACATTTAGTTTATGACTGGAGGCTGTGATAACTGGCAGAGTAATGGCAAAGTTTAGCCATAATACCCTGTAGTTCAAGAGATTAAAAGGAAAGACAATACAATGAATGGAGACGTTTCTTACACTACTTCTTAAAATTAATCCAATGTAGAATTTAGGGATTACCCAATCCTGGATAAATAGAGAAACTGACAGAACTCAGATCTGTAGCATGCAGATTGGTATAGGTATGAAGTTGGTTCCAAAATGAAAACATATAGAACTGTAATCTATGACCATGGATTTAATATATAAAATTAAAAGATAAACAAATCTAGATTTCTAGCGCAACGTGCAGATGGAATGGAAGATGCAATGTAACAACAGGGAGCCTCCAATACAAAAAAAAAAAAATCTGATGTTCCATCAGTATAGAGCAGTAGCTGTCGTTACTCACTTGTTATGCGGAAGCCGTGAGCAGAGGGTTCGCAGATCATCTACAAATCAGAGAAGGGAAAGATTAGAAAGTCAATCTATATGATCTCCAAACTTGGCCTCCAGCACGCTGAACAGAGCAAATGTGAAAAACACATTTGAAGTGTTATCTTAAAACAATGCAAGTAAAACATTTTAACTCTTTCTTTACTCCCCCTTCCCCCAATCAAAAAACAGGTTTGATCAATGAGAAAGGGTTACGAGATATTTTAAGAACATGTGAGGGCACTAGAATTCTCCAACACTGAATGCTTTGTTCGATGTTTAATTAATGATTATATTCTACCAGATTCAGGAAATACGTTAAAAATGCTCATGTAAAAAGACCTTGAGATTCTTGGCTGGAATATCTTTTATGAATTTACCATGTGGTAACTTTAGAATGTAAAATAGTAATAGAAACAAAAAACACTATCAGAATTAATCACTAAACGCTGAAACTTAGGCAGAAATAGTTGATCTGGAAAATTTCTTAAATTCAGCCACAACTTGACTATTTCTGCCTCAGTTTTACCATTCGGATTTAAAATTTATGAAAATTCTGGGATTACATATACAATTCTGCGCACGCACCTCGTGTACAGAGCAATGCCCCTGTAGCCATGGAAACTTGCAGTGCCTGTGCCAGTCGATCCAAGGCCAGTTCCATTTCTTGCTCTGCGTTCAAAGGGTTAAGCTCCTGGCACAGTTGACCCAGCTCTTCCACCAAGGGAACAAGCTGCTCGAAGAGCAATAGCCCAAGTCGGCCATAAAGAGACTTTTCAGTCAGGTGGGTCTGAAGAACCATTAAACCTTGCAACATGCTCAGGTGGAGTTTTGAGTAAAGGCTTTGGTTCTCTACCACAGGCCCACCTCCGGCAGCTTTTTGCTTGCGCCTGTAGGACAATGGGGCTATAACACACCACCGAACCAAACCCATAAGTGGGGAAAAGTCTAGGAAGCCAAGAGGAAGGTTGGCACTTATTGGGGTATTTAGGAATGTGATCAAGATGAGTCGAGGGTCCTCGAAGATCCAGGAGACAATCATTTCTAAGAGATCATGGGGAGGGAGCAGACCTTCTGCAGAAAGGGGAGATGAAAATGTCAGAAAGCATTTGTAACTCTGAACATCACAGAACTAATCTATACATAGAACATTTACTTCATAATGAAAACAACGTTTTTTGGTTTTTTTTTATTAGTTTTTTTTTTTTAAATAATACTCTCTTAAACTCAGAATATCTGCAGTCAGGTGTTCCCTCTAAGCATTATGAGGCAAGCATTTCAGCCTTGTGTTTGCATTGGATATACTCAATGCAAACTTCAGCGTGAACTTGATATCAATAAATAGATTACACGGTCAGATCGTAAAAAAGTGCTTGTAGGGGACAGTGAGCAGTGTGTTCGCTTACCTGACGACATATCATACAGAGCAGCAACTGCAGTAATGAACTGGCAGCAGAAGCGAGGACTGACATTGAAGATCTGTTTCAGTGTCTGGATGGAGCCAGGGACCAGGCCACAGTAGTCATCCACCAAAGCTTTAGCCAGACGCATGCAGTAAACAGCAGGAGAGCGCTGCCATGAATAAAATACAAGACAGGAGCTCAGTCAGTGAACAGATACGACTTTTAGCATTACTAAGTGAACGATTTCCGTGAAGTAGAAAGCAGTACATTAGGTCAGTGTTTCCGATGCAGTCCTGAAGGCAGGTGTAGGATTTAGACATTTCTAAATTATGTTCTATTGGGTACCTAGTTAGAGAAATAGATCACCCTCCTCTAACAGAAACAAGAGGTTAACACATACATTAGAGGTCCCTGGATTTTAAGTTGAACGTACATGTATGTCTCAAGACAATGCGTAAAGGGAAATGTCATGAAAAAGCTGCACTATTAAAAAAAAAAAAAAAATACAAATTACTAAATTTTCCAAGAAGATGAGTTTTATTCTGCGACAAATAAGCATCATGGGAAATGTAGTCCTCTGAGATCTCCAGGCAAGTTAGCCATGAAAGCCTCTATTTACCTGCAGCCAAGAAGCAGCACACTCCAGCACAGGCACTCGACACACTGCTACTGCCATTGAGGTCAGCTTTCCAAGCAGTGCCATGCGCAGGTCATCTGCTTTGTTGCCTTGGGGGCTGAAGAGCGAGGAGAAAATAACTTGCCGGACTGGCTCCTTGCTCTGCTCCTGGAAGTAACTGCAGAGTATATCCAACAGCTGTAGCTCCTGGATGGAAGTAAGGCGCTGTATAGAAGAAAAGCAAAAGGAAATCAGATGGCCAGTAATTTATTGTAAAAATGGACAACGCAAATAAAAGCAAGGCAACATATCAAAAAATGCATCAGCACATAACATTGTCACACAGGTTCGGAGGGAAGGCATTATGAAAATGAACACATTTTCTCTTTGACCACACAATATTCTCACTGCTCTGTAAAGACAGTATTGCTGTTTAAGTTTTGCATATGGTTTTGGAATTTCAAGGTTCCTGACGGACAGTGCTTGCAGCCATAGCATAAATCCCACTTTAAAGCTCTAGTTTGCTAAAAAAGTGAAGGTATGTCATCCTGGCACCATAACAACTTCAATAATCTAAAAAATGATGATAGTGCTTAGGCTGTCACTTTAATCCAAAGTGAATCATCACATTCATTTTACGATATATTTTCTCTCAGAAAATGTTTAATAAACTATCGTAAATCAGATCATAACTGGGGTATATTTTGTAGCATAACAATATGGATGGTATATGTGCAGCATCTAAAGAAACATATGTGTGGAAAATAACACAAGCTGGGGGCCTCATAACAACGCAATGGTTAAACTCAGGCACTCGACCTATGCTGGACAGTTCCTCATGATTCTAAACCAGCCATTAAGTTGGCGGAGCAGCATAGGAAAATAAAAGTTATTCATTAAACCCTGATTTTTTTTTGCAAATTAAATCCAAATAGATAACAAAAAGGCAAAAATCGCCATCAACTCACAACTTGACCATTTTTAATTCTCACAAATGTGAAGTGTAGTGAGTAATACCGACAGACCCAATAATGCTCAAAACCCAGACATAACTGCAATAACAGGTGGGAACCATTCCCGCTACCTTGGCGTGGGAACCACGTTCTTTTGTGACCTGAATGACAAATTCTTCAAGCAATTCAATGGGTCCCTTTTCAACCAGTGGCACTGGGGCATTCTGCAGTTGGCTGCTGAAATAGATATCAAGATGGTAGAGCACTTCCTTAGCAGCGCTGAGGGCGTCCCGGCGCAGTAGGGAATGGCGAATGTCACTCATCACGTTCCCTAGAAAATAAAAATGGTATACAGTAAGTTACGCATTTCAAAACAAACATACAGCAACCCTCCTCCTTTACCTCTGAGACATCACTATTTACACTGTTACTTTCATAATCAAAATACTCATCCCATATATGTTTGTTTTTTTTTTTAAGTATTTTCTAATATTAATAAATTGTAAGTAATGCTCAGACTCCTTGGATGGGAGATAGCAGAGAATGAGGCAGCTGGCAGCCATAAGGCATTTTAAAGGTCAGGTTACACTTTTATCTCATTATAAAACGAAATAAATCATCCAGGTGCAGCTCATCACCTCTTCCCCTTCTGAGCAGTCAGTTCCTAATTCACTTCCAACGCAAAACCATGCGTTGTATCAACAGGGGCCGCAAAAGGCTCAAACCGTCACCATACGGCCACCGTACTCATAGACGGGCTGGCTGTGCTGGCTTCCTTACTTCCATGCCTCGTTTTCGCGCAGACGTGCAGCGACGCCATCTTGTTGTATTTTTTTTTTCATTCTTCAAAATGTTTCAAACTTTATTCAGTTCAACAACGTCAAAAGGACAGTGACCTCAGTTGACTTTCATATAGCGCTGGACGCTCATAAAATTAGGAAATAAACCACAACAACAACAACAACAAAAAAAAAACATAAGACTTTTAGTGAAATTTGCTTTTTGTTTTTTTACAATAAACAATGAGTGCTTTGAGTGCTGAAGTACATTATTACATAGTCTGCTGTCAGTAGTGTAATGTGTGCAATAAAGGTGTTTGGTAATCCAAAAAATACACATATAAATGTTTTCTTTACAAATATTTATTTTTAAGGTTCTGTATTTATTTGACAGAGAGAATAGAGTTTTGAGGGGGCGGATCCCAGAATTTTATAATCATTAGCTAAATAGGAAAACTTTGCCCAAACAGCTATTTTTCCAGCATAATATTGTTTATAATTCCTAATACTGGGAATTATAAACGCAGGACAGAGAACCTTATGGAATGCGACATTGATACCGTACACATATCTGGTTATATTTGAGTTCCGCAAAAAAAACGAGGGGTAAAATGGCTGCTACACAGACCTTTCAGGGTAGTCCATGAACCAAGTGCTGCTAAAGCCCTCTCTTATTGGCAGAAAAACCTTATTTTAATTTGTTTAAGAATGCGCTCACACTTGACTCACTGAAACGCCAGCGAACACACTTGATATTATACCCATTTATTTTTTAAACAATATTTACCTAAATTATGCACATTGATTTTCAACTGACTGCAGTGCAATGTTTGGTAAATGGCGCGTAACAACAAAATCTGTAGTTTTGACTCATTTTGTTTTGATTTCAACAATATTACACAATGTCACAATTAAAAAAAAAACCTGGGGCACGCATTCATGTAACAGATGATGAATAAATAAATAATGTATCTCTATTAGTCTTTGATTGCACATAGTATACATGAAGACAACCAACAGTTAAAAAAATATTATTGACTCCGACATCATTATGTAACGCACTGTAGCACAAGCTATTGACCTTATTTTATTATTATGCTTAACCTTGTTTTCTTATGGTAATCTCCCGCCTCTGTTTTATTGGCTCCCCTGGTCCTGGCAATGATTGCCAACTTATGGCGCAATTCTAGCACCTGCTGCAACTGATTGTAACCAGCACTATGCAAAAAAAATAGAAATAACGACTTCTACGCAGCTCTTCAGCTGTATTTTGTAGTTATTACATTTGTGCTTAAATTACAGTGGCCAGATCGCTGTATTTTCAAGGGACTGTAATAATTTAATGCTCTCTCTTGGAAAAGGCTTGAGAGATCTACCCAGCAGAATGCAGAATCCATGTGCTCTCAGCTCGCAAACAATAAACTAATCTCGTCGGCTTACTTTGAGATGTCAACTAGGACTGATTAGTTGATTGCGCATTAGGAGCAAATGAATTGCATGCACTGCCAGGCAGTATCCGATTAAATGCAGTAACTCATAATCATCTAGCAAATATTCGGTCTCAGGCTTCCCAAATATCCCGAATACAATGAGACAGTCCCTAATTTAGGATTCTTCCCTGTCATCTTGGGTTTGTTCCATATGGTCCTACTTTTGGGGACACCAGGGAAGTGTACCCAGAAAGAGCACATCTTTAGACGCAATGCACAGTACGGCAAGGGTATGAAGGCCATGCAGAACTCGCTATATTAGCCACCTCTACATGATCCACCTCTAGTGGGGCCAGCCAGCTTGAGTGGCAGTCAAGCTGGACCTTTGTTGGATGTGCTCAGCCCCCTTTCCAGGCTCATCACCTGCCTGCCACATTTAGCCATGCCCACCCGCCCCCCTCTAAAAAAAAACAAAAAAAATCAGTTTTCTGTTACTTGCTCCATAATTTGTAGGACGCAAAAAAAGAGTCAAAAAGTATCTCCTCACTTTAACCTTCCACAAATAAAATCAACATTTAATACCATCTTGTACAATAAAAAGGTTTATATAAACATTTCTAAAAAGATCGTCATGTTGATTGTCTTTATTAGGGAGCCTCTAGGCAGCTGCCTACTCTGTCTATTAAAAATCTGTCCCTGATGGGTATAACTATCAAAGTCAGGAATTGCAAATCTGTCCATATCCAGTTTCTTTCCTTACAGAAGAATAAATTAAGTTAATAAATATATAAGAGTTTAAAGGTCACTGTATCATGTCCATTCTGGAGTTATCTTGCTAAAATCAGAAAGTTATAAATGTTTTGAATGATGTTTCAGTATTCTTGTCTTTCACAATTCAGGCTAGGTGACATGAGAGTGTAATGAATAAACCGCTTAGAGAATAAAACTTATAGTACCAAACCTTACATAAGTCGCCGTAGGCACGCATTGGGTCCCCTATGGCAACCAGACTACCACGGCATAGTTCTCTGCTCTAGCAATACCTACTGCCAGCTGACCTGCACCGGGCCCCGACATAACGCCACTTTATAATACAGTAACGCATAGAGTCCCCTAAGCAGGGCCACTGGCTACTGAGGCTACTAGGTTACGGTTGACATCGCTAACAAGGGCATTAGACCCCAGCTGCCATCATACATGCAGTATATTGTCAGTTTTTTAGTTAACAAGCTGTCCACATATTTCATTGATTCTGCTATTTTGGAAGGCACATCCGGACAGCCCAAGCACCTTTAGCATGCCACTGCTATGCAGAACGTTCTAAGTTTTCAGTTAAATTGTAATCAACATGTATCAATGTGTTGTTAATGTCGCAATGTTACTAAATGTTTGTATTGATATTACAGCCATGCACACCTTGGAAAAAAATGGCGCACTTAAACCTCTAAATTGTTAACCTGCAAAACCAATGTTTGTGTATATTACAATTGTAAGAACACAAAATAAAGATTGTCAAAAAATAAATAAACTTATAGTTTAATAACTCTCCACTTGTTATACGGTTTATGTTACTGCCAATAAACAGGAAAAATAAAATGCCAGCAACATTCAGAGACTGTCAAAACTTGAATTTCAGGAGTAGCTGATTCCATAATTATGGTAATGACAATGGGTGCGGAGCGACTTACAACACTTTAGAAAAAAACAAACAAACATACATTTCAAGATATATAAACCAGAAGTCAGTGAACTACTATTGCCATGATGCTTAGTCAGACTCTATGGTAAATATTGATATAGAGTAATAACGCGCCAAATCCTGGCCATTGTCAGTTATTCCTGCGACTTATTTACCGATTCCCCTCAAATATAGTATTTGGTTTAATATTTTACAATTTTATTGATGTGGAACAAAAAGGGACTTTCTTGTGTTTTGGGAGCTGCTGGGATGTAACACAGGTCCAATGTTAAGTACATATCCAATCGTTTTTATACAATCAATCAGTCACAGACGTTTAACCATTTTCTCTCTCCATTAATTATCTTTCTGAAACAGTGTTTAATTCTTTTTAAAATACCACTCATGGCGCTTGTATATAAGTGCGCATTGTGCTAAAGCTTTGTCATCATTTTGCATTGTTATGTGAGTTAAATTATATGTTAAAATAATCACACGTGTCAAAAACTTAAAACACCTTACAAAATGTGGAACCCGCTGTTGATTGATGCCCGACCACTTTAACTTTTTCTTTGTTTTCTCCCTCCCCCCCATTCTATATATCTTTCCTTTACCCTGTATTTTTTCCTCCTAATCCGTATGGTCATCTTTTCCTCCTTGCCCTCGGCTGTCCTGCAGTTGGATTGTACCTTGGCAACTTATTGCATTTTAAATGTATCCTAAATTCTATCCCTGCCTCACTACCTCTTTATTTTCTTCCCCTTGTGTTTCTTCCTTTCCTGTTCCTAATTGGTTGAATTAGAAAGAGCCATTAAAGAGGGCCAACTCTATTACAATAAATGGAGATTTTGTTCCAATCTTCTTTTTTTCCTTGAATGACTGCTGGATCATATTGTCACCTATCCCGAGGCCTTGAAATCCATCAATTCTCCTGCCCTGACCGGCTAACTCGGGAGTCAGGATAGACCCATGCCACAACATAGCTATGCCCCATACCTCCCAGCCCTCCCCCCCTCACACACTCCCACCCATCCCTATCTCTCCCCCCCTATCTCCTTTTTCTTTCCCCAGGCGAGGTCGGGGACCGCCTGGCGCAACATGGCCACAAAATATTTGAGCCCGAGAAGGCACCACGATTTCCCCATGGGACGTGGGACCCGCGAGACATCGCTCGATTGACTCGAGGGGTTCCCATGACAAGGGAAACTCTTACAATAAACAGCAAACATAAGTCAACACCAGATGACTGACACAACCGAACATTGAGACATCACATCACCCCCACCCAAGGGGGGAAAACACCCCAGATACACCACAGATACCATACGTGGACAGCGACTGGAGAACGACAACAATTACCGCCCACAAGGAAGCAAAACGACAGAGGCAACTAAACACACCACTGGGCGCTCTCCCCCTCCCGTCGTGATGGCATCGCCTCGCGATGGGGGAGGGGACGCGGACTCACAACGAGAGGGTAGATGACCCAGGAGAGAACCCACAACATACCTAGGCACCGCTGAAGCTAGGGAAAAGGCAGACAGGAAAGGGAGTCCCAGACCTGGTGCAAGAATATAGGTCCCAATCCCAAAAAACAAACCCCTTTCTCACTCCCCACGTTAGAGGACGTGACCTGGGACCTACCGCACTACTTACCATTTGATTGGGGATCAACTATAGAATCCGTTTGCCCTTACTGTTGTGGGCCAGCAGCCCTCCACTTACAATAATGCTATATAAAGACCCACCTAAAACTGGTGGTACTCATGTCGGACGCAATTGGAGACCTGCGAGTCTCACTGACAATATAAGCACTGCTCTCTGTTATTTTCTGAACTGCTAATAAAAACTTTATTTACAAAAAAAAAAGAAATCCATCAATTCTTATCACCTGTTCTACTAGGTACTATTATTTGTGACTCCTTGTTATCTTTACCAATGTGCAATGCATTCAGACGCAGTGCTACCTTCAGAACTACAAAGTCACATGTGCTCACACACTCTGACATACACACAGATGCACTCAATGACACACACAGGTACGCATTCCTAGACACATTCACACTCATGCACTAAATACACAATAAAATGATATTATGAGTGTCAGTTGCTTGGTAGGGTTTCCAAAGGCTGCCTGTCGAATGCAAAATATTCTTATCATCCAAATATAGAGTCAGGGCTTTCTGGGTCTATTGGAAAAAAATAAGGCAGCTGCCTAGGGTGTGAAGTTACTACGTAATATATTCAAGGCTGTCCATGCCAACTATAACAGAATGAAAGGGGCACAAATGTTACACTATGTACCAAAAACCTTTAGGCCAGGAGTAGACAACCTTCGGCACACCAGACATTGTGGACTATATCTCACATCATGCTCTTACAGCAATGATACTGGTAAAGTATCAGGGGAGATGTAGTGCCTACCCCTGCCTTAGGCCATCCAGGATTAATACAGAGTTTCTAGGTATATCAAGATGCAGTTACAGTGTAACCACCGCAGCAATATTATGGCAGATCAGTATTGTATTATGTGACTGTAAGGCTGGATATTTCTCAGGGTCCCAGAGACCCCCAAACCGCCATGGACTTATCAACAGGTTTCTGCTTTTCTCTTATATCTCTGCTGATCTGGGAAAAGGCCCGTTAGAAATAACACACAGGACAACGTCATGTATTTCATTCAAGCCACTCACTTAATTCCCCATAGCAAAGGGGATATCTAGGTTTTCTGTCTAGGGTGATACACATTATTCACCCAGTTGGCACAGTTTACTTTGAAAACCAAGCAGTTCTAACTTCACGCACAATTCTGTTTGTTAGGAGTAGATAAGCGAGCCTGATCAGCACAACTCCAGGTGCGACTTAGCAACAAGGGAGAGACCCCTACTAAGCATTTTAAAACATTTCACTGAGACAGTGAAGAGGTCTTTAATCAATATATATAATTTGATACATCAAGCCTGAGCAATAAAACTGACACCGGACAGAGACGATACAGTGACGATACAGCGACGATAAGGCGTGTTTACTTTAATAGTGATTAATCTGTTGCTATCAGTATTCTTTGACCTCTCCTGGTCTTATCGCAGTGGACCTGAGTTTTTATTTTACAGAAAGAAACAAACTCTTGTATTCATTAAATGCAACGATGAGCTATCTGTAAAACTATGATAAAACACTTAATTGGGAGGTGCAGAGTCTCTGAGAGCTGGGTCACCTATTCAATTTGTGTGGGAGGAACTGTCCTATAAAACTCACTGTCAGGAGGATCACATCAAAAAACCAGCTTAGACGAACCTGTTATTGTCAGGTGAACACAAGCATTGACTTACAGAAAGGATACGGCATCACAGACATCATCACACACACCTGCAAGTGAGTACCGACAATTACAGAAGAGACAGACAGAGAGAAAGATAGGTAGATAGACAGACAGACAGACAGAGATAGGTAGATAGACAGACAGAGATAGGTAGGTTGATAGATAGACAGAGATACATAGATAGATAGATAGACAGACAGAGATAGGTAGATAGGCAGACAGAGATACGTAGATAGATAGATAGACAGAGATAGGTAGATAGATAGATAGATATTCCATCGCCCTTTCTTTATCAATGTTTATCTGTCTACTAAACCTGTTTTCTGAAATGTTATTCTCATTAATTTATGGCAATGGAAATTAGTGATTGGTAGAGTAATCAATTTAAAAAAAGAAAGTGTGTGTGTGTGTGTTTTGCACACATATGGACACACATTATTTTCTGCCAATGCAGGATTTTTAATTGTGCATTTTTCATATTACATGATTTTTAGGACTAGGGTTAATTAGGGTTACTATTAAAGGAACACTCCAAGCACCATAACCATTCTCGCATACTGCAGTGGTTATAGTGTCAGGAATGCCCTGGCAACTGTAAGTAATGAAATGTTTTTTGAATTTTTGGACTTCTTATTTGGGATCCACCGGGTACTGCTCCTCTCCTCCTCTACTTCTGACAGAGAGCCTAAAGCTCCTTCGTGCAGGAACATCTCAATGGCTAAGAGTGGCAGCTCATTACTCCCAGCCAATGAGCTCAGCCCTGCACTGCCATGCTTAGCCTGGACAGAGAGCTAACATCTCGGAGGCGGGGAGCGGTGTCCGGCAGAACCCTGGTAAGAAGTCTAAAACAATTTGACTACTTACAAAGGGGCGCCAGGCAACTCCGGCACACCATAGCCACTTCAGCAGGATGTAGTGGTTAGGGTGCTGTAGTGTTTATTTAATGTTAGGGGTAATACAAGTGTAAGGGATATTTTTAGATATGTTAGGTTATCTCTGTCTGACATTAGTGAGAGTTACACTCCCTGGCTAGTTTTGGCTGCCTCCATAAATTCTGCTCAGGAGAGAGCGCCCTTAAAATAGCATCAGCTATGGATAATAACTCCCACTAATCTAACATTTTTATAAAGCACTTTTCGCACCAAAGGCATTTAAAGTACTTTATAGAACACGTTTGAATGTTTGCTTGTAATTAAAGTTTTTTATTGAAAATTATTTTCAATCAATTAACAAAATGATGTAGCACACGTCGTAGTATTTACTCTCTTGCCTTCTAATTTCATTGGGGCCTGATTAGTAAATAATTACCATTTATTCCCTATAATTACCCCTAGATAAAATCGGCAAAGGCTGTCTGTGTAATATGATATATAAAGAAGCTACCAATTAGACTGCCAAGGAGTTAGAACACCTGGGGCCTAGCATAAAAGGTACTGACATGAAATATTTAGGGGAAAAAAACCTGAACTGAACTTAATGCCCCTCACCGTAACGCTCTGCAGGGTTTATTCAAAACGTTAATTGTTGTGAATAGCAAACTTGTGTTCAAATAAGCCAAGCTGGGACTATTTTTTCAAAATCAGCTATTTTGGCCTACGTTTTGTAAAATTTCATTTCACGAAATTTGACTGTTTAGTAAATAAAGCTTTTTTTTTTTTTTAGTAAATGGAAGAGTATGTCGTACAATATAACCATTTCTACATAGGAGGATTTTGAAACCTCACCTTGAAAAGCAAGAAAAATTATTTATTGCCGCATATTTATATTGTGTCTGTAGGGAGTTTCCTGTAATTCTGGATTTTTGTTTATACACCCTTAAAGGAAGACTCGGAGCACCGTAATCATACCCATACACCCCCCCTGCCCCTCCCCCTACTGTAAGTAGTCATACCATTTTAGAATCATGTGACTTCTTAAGAGGTATCTCTGAGGTACTGCTCGCCACCTCCACCACTTCAGAGGTTCAGACAGAATCAGAAGTTCTGTGTCTAAGCTAAGCCAACGTGCTTGGCTCAACGGAGGAGAGTGATAAGTTGACTGCTCAGCCAATGAGCTAGCTCTGTACTGCAGGGCCTAATTTAGGCTAACAAATGCTCCTGCTTAGGTAGTTCATTCTTAATGTATGAAGTAGTAGAGGTGGACCCCAATTAAGAAGTCAAACCATTTTAAAGCAGTTTGAATACTTGCAATCCGGGGTCTCCAACGCACTGCTGACACCATAATCGCTATAGCATGTGGCAGTGGTTATGGTGCTTGGACTGTTCATTAAAGCCCCATTTTTAATATATGTGAGGCTTTATTTGCCAATCAGTTGTGTTCTGTAAATATGTAACTAACATGTAAAATGTAAGGCAAACTAGAAATCATGTAACAATAATTCTAAACTATAGTATCTGACAAGTTTTTAGAAAACAATGCGAAGGATTTAGGCCTACTGCAAAAATTAATACCAGACTCATCTCTGTAAGGAGTAGCTAGTCATAGATAAAGCTGATACAATTGCCCTAGACTATCAGTCTCGATACCAGGGAGAGCTTGCCAAGTTTGCATAAGATTAATTATTACTATTTTATTATTTATATAGCGCCAGCAAACTCTTTGGCGCTGTACAATGGGATTAATATCTTTAAAATTAACAGACAATGCCAAAATAAATAATTTACTATGTTTGATTTGCACATATTTTTTGTGAAATCATTTTTTAAAATCGGTGAATAAATTGGTGAGTAAACATACTACAATTTTCTATTTGGAGAATAAGACGCTCCTGTGTCCCACAAGCAATAGCCGCACCCTCATTCAGGTTTGGTTGTAAATATGCAAGTGATTCTAGAGTCCCATGGAGTCTTCTTTTATTCCTCTTACCTGCCATTCACCAAACGTTCTTTTTTGGGCCACAAATTCAGCCCCAAATGGATCCCGAGGTGGACCCAAAACTGAAGCAGATGTTCAATAATGGCTTCTCCATCCAACCTGCAGAGGTGGAGGAGATGTGGTGAGGGAAGGTTGAAAACAGGCACATTTGTGCATAAGATGCCCACTTTCCTCATCCTCCTGCCATGTTGGTAAAGTGGTCAAGAAATATGTCCCTCACAGCCAGACTGTGTGCGCCAACTGTCAGCATTATGGTCTAATCTTCACGTCAACGGTGTGATTTAAGTGTAGACTCCAGTGTTAGAAAAACATAAATTTTCATACATAACATTGGTGTCTTACACTTACAGTTTAGATTTTGGGCCATCTCAGTCACCAAAAATTCTTATATATACCTCTAATCCAGTTGACAAACGGTCCCTTGGCCTTTGTGAGATCACCAGAACTGACAATCTCCTGGCCAATCCAATGGTTCCTACTGATAAGCACTGAGAAGCATGGTGTATGCTGTCCCCACGTCTGCATTGAGCTCTCTCGACTGCCCAGAGTTTATATAAAAGTGCTGATTCCTCTTGAATTCGTCATTTTTATAATAAGACAAACGGCACAGACAGTTAATTGCTACAGCACTTCAAGGAGCTGAAGTGCTTTAATGGATTGGAGTGTTCCTTTAAGTAGAATGTCCATAAACACGAGTCCAGAAATAATAACTAATGTTTTCCTTTAATTTTGGGCTGAATTTGTGGCCTGTCATGTAATGCTGTCACGAGATGTCAACGTAAAATATGTATCTTGACGGCTAGTGATTAGACAAGCTGATGGCCTGTAAGTCGAGTAATTATGGGTCTTCATAAATATGCAAACGTTCAAGTATGTGTCAAAAGGAAGGCATGATTCAATAACCCTACATGATTAAAAAAACAACACACCCTTCAGTTAGATAATATCTATTTTACGTACGAGGTTAATTTCAGCTTGAATCATTCTTCAAACAAAAACATATTCGCCTTGATGCTAGCTGAATCAAGCTGATCTTGAGTCATAATTTCAGCATTTAAACTTAAATCAAGTCTAAATTTAGCATTTCAAAATTAACAGCCACAGGACAATGGACATAAACATTTGTAAACCTGCCTTTTCTGATTGGCTAAAAAAGAAAACACATATATACTAATATGTCAAGATATGACCAGGACAAGCATGACTAAAGAAACAAGTTGGGCAGTTACTTTGGTGTTTGCGTATACACAGGAAGTGGAGCTAAATTCTAAAAGTTGAGCAGTCACTATGGAAACCAACTGAATGTTCCCGCTGATTGCACCACTTCTAGAATTTTGTCTAATCTGGAAAAAGCAGCTTAGTTGAGTGATTTTTCCAATTCAGCTATTTTTGCCAAGCATTTACAATGATCAGCCACAACATTAAAAGCACTGACAGCACTGATTAACATTGATTATATCATTACAATGGCATCTGTCCAGGTGTGTGATATAAGACAGTAAGTGAACAGTCATAGCTTAAATTTCATGTGCTGGAAGCAGGAGAAATGGGCAAGCAAAAAGATCTAAATGACTTTGACAAGGTCCAAATAGTGATGGCTAGATGACTGGGTCAGAGAATCTCCAAAACATCAAGTCTCGTGGTGTCTACCAGGTATGCACTGGTTAGTACCTAACATAAGTGGTGCAAGGAAGGACAACTGGTTAACAAGTGTCAGGGTCATAGGTACCAAAGGCTCATTGATTCACATAGGGAGCTAAGGCTAGCCTGTCTGGTCCGATCACACAGAAGAGCTACTGTAGCTCAAATTGCTGAAAAACATAATGCTGACCAGTGCATCGTAGTTTGCTGAACATGGGATAGCATAGCTGCAGACCGGTCCGAGTGTCCATGATGACACCTGTCCACTGTCGAAAGTACCTTCAATGGGGACGTGAGTGTCAGAATTGGATCATGGAGCAATGGAAGAAGTTTGCCTGGTCTGATGAATCATATTTTCTTTTAGATCAGGTGGATGGCCGGGTGCATGTGCATTATTTACATAGGGAAGAGATGGCAGCAGGATGCACTATGGGAAGATGGCAGGCAGGCGGAGGCAGTGTTATGCTGTTATGTTCTGTCGGGAAACCTTGGGTCCTGGCATTCATGTGGATGTTATTCTGACACGTACTACCTACCTAGAGATTGTTGCAGACCATTTACACCCATTCATGGCAAAGTTGTTCCCTGATGGTAGTGGCCTCTTTCAGAAGGATAATGCACTTTGCCACATTGCAAAACTTGTTCAGGAATTGTTTGAGGAACAAAACAAAGAGTTCAAAGTGTTATCTTGGCCTCCAAATTTCCTAGATCTCAATCCGATTGAGCATCTGTGAGATGTTCTAGAACAACACATCAGATCCATACAAGCCCCACATCACAACTTGCAGGACTTAAAGGATGTGCTGCTAATGTCTTGGTGCCAGATACTACAGGACACATTTAGAATTCTCGTGAAGTCTATGCCTCCAACGCATCAGAGCTGTTTTGACAGCACGAGGGGACCTACACGATATTAAGAAAGGTTTTTTTTTGTGGCTGATCAGTGTACAATTAGCTAAAATTCATTTTTTATATAACTTAACAAGTCTTGAAATTACAAATTTAAAAATAAAAAATAAAGAAAAAAGCCTATTCTTATGAAGTAAAATCTCAACAGAAATTCCGAAAAACCTAAAAGAGAAATATGGTTTTCATTAGAATAAAATAGTTTCATGCCTAATGATATTGATCTGAAAGGTCAAATGTCTGATCTGTGAGTTTTGTTACAGGGATGTTGTGGTTAATCTTTATGGTGTCGCTGGCTCTCTCCCTGAGCGCGGTTCCAGCTTTGAAGATTGGAGCATTTAACATCCAGTCTTTTGGAGACTCAAAAATGAAGAATCCGGCAGTAGCTACAATACTGCTAAAGGTAAATCAATTATTTATGCATGTCAAGCTGGGGACTCTGGGATTGTTGTGGATAGTCATGATTTCTGTGCCCAAGAAGGACTTCTCAAAGTCCATCTTGAGATAGGCAGGTGATGTAGCAGTCCTTTTTGTATTTCCACTGTGGGGAGTGTTATCGTGTTTGGTCTCACCATAATCTTTTTGGTACCCAGTCGTATGTTCTCAGAGCGACTTTAATTTCCTGACCAGAAACAGCGCCATGCTGGTGAGACCCACAATCCTGAAACCTCAGTCCATGGTTGCTTCTGGTCACTGATCACTTGGGTTCATAGCCCGTGCTTTGGTTTTTTAATCCCTTAACGACACAACTTCAGAAATAAAAGGGAATCATGCCGGATTATTTCCGTCATGTGTCCTTAAGTGGTTAAAAAGAAAATTGGTGTTTAAAACACTGTCCAGTGTCCATTGTCTCTGCAGACATGCAGTCTAAAACACAATGCCTGTCTGTGCTCATTTGCATATCAAACTGGGGACTCTGGGATAATTGTGGGAACATGATTTCTCTAGTTTCTGTTCCCACGAAGGACCCATCAGTTTGAGAAAAACAGATCAAAAAGGGCATTAACTCTCATATTGTACTTACAGGTATTGCCTCGTTATGATATCGTCTTAGTTCAGGAAGTCAGGGACACTGATCTGAGTGCAGTCATAACACTCATGGATGAGCTCAATGGGTAAGTAAAGATTTGAAATAATAATAATAATAATTAGATCCCCCAGCTACCATGGAGTCTGACAATATCGAGATCAATCCGACTACCAGTCAGTGATAATGAAATACATCGATAAGATCCACACGTCAAACATCACTCATGGAGAATGTCATGCTGCTGTGTCCTATATACAGAAATTCTACCGGGAGACATTCTTGTCAATCACCTGCTTCATAAAACCTTGACCCAATTTGCAGTAACAGAACAGAATTATCAGACATTCGTTCACATGAGACGCTCATGCTGGAAATAATATTAAATGGCATACTATTATACATGGACTCATAATGTAATTAGGTATTACCATAACCACTACACTTCAATATGAGAGTCCATGCAACCTGAGTACTAATGCTCTCAGCCTATCATTGCTGTCCACGTTGAATGTATTTAGTCTAAATAATGAGGAAGTTCTGTCATGTTGAGCAATATCACACTGATTCCAGCATTCCATCGTACAAAAACCAGATAACTATGAACTGGCAGCTTAATAAGAATAAAAGAGGAGAGACGCAAGAGACCGAATAAAGGACAAAAATATGGAGGGTTTTATAGTAGCGACATGATTATAAATGGGGCAACAAGAAATTAGAAATCAGTAAGTTAATGAAAACATGCTTTCAAACAATTTTGCATATCACATAAAGCAAATTAAAATTGCGTAGTACAGGTTTATAAACAAAAATGAGGAAGTAGACACTCCCTGTCATCTCCTTCAAACGGTAAAATAAATTATAGCGCATTCGATTTTAATATTTATTGAGGGATGTTAATATTTGTTTTATACTACACTGATTATGCTACTTGGTATTGTGCTTTTGTGAAAGCTTTTACCAATTTTATTACAAGACACGGAGGCTCACACTATGCATTTTTCTTTCTTTACTTAATTATAGCTGCAAAGAGAATTAATAAATGAACGGAAACAGATTTAAAAATTTGCATCAACTGATATACAACGGTTAGCCAATCAGGTTACATGGCAGTTTATAGATATCGTAGACAACGTTCCAAAGTCCTCTTTCTTTGCAACTGAAACAGGTTACTAATCAAACAATGGTAAAATAACCCAACGAATGATGAATAACTTGAATGAAGAATAACAAGTAACTCAGAATATGAAGAAAACCGAAATTGGACTCAGTGAAGCTAGATGAAAATCCTCTACACTTTCATATGTCCATGCAGAATTACATCATGGACACAATAAAATAAAATTAGTAAATTTATACCAACCGTTGAGGTAAAGATATTGACTAAATTATGAAATTAACTAGATATATACTAGACTTCAAAAATTACTATAGATAATAATCATTAAACATGTATAATAGATACAATTAATACCTATAAGCTATAATAATGTAAATATAAAAAAAGGGAGGGAAGAAAAATACGGTGGGATAATACTCGCCTCCGTGTTTTTAATAAAATCAGGACTTTACGTCATGTCTTAGTAAAATCAATTAATTTTATTACAAGACGTGGAGGCTCATATTATGCTCGTTTAAAGGAAGAAATGTGTTGAATTGGCTTAAGATTTAAAAAAAAAAATTAAAAGTAGATTCGTTAGAAGTTAGACCAATCAGCAAATTTCATAATATCTTCCAATTTCCTCCTGATGTAAAAGAAAAATTGAGGCCACTGCTTCACAAGTAAAAAGTGAACCAATCTGATTGTGCTATATAAGTAATAAAATAATAAGAATAATAAGAATAATAACCAAAGACAGAAATGTCAATCCCGGCCAAATCCAAAGTCATTTGACCCAACGAGCAAGTGTTACAGTTGAAATAGTTTGTGAGATTTTTGAAAAGACAGAAAAAGATGGGGAAATTCAGGATTCCGAACAGACGAAGTAGGATGTTGGTATTTCTTTAGACACAGAACTGGATATAGGGAAGCTTATAGGATATAGGGAAGGAGAGCAGGAGAAAATACTAGAGAAATGGTGGTTTTGGTTCTACGTGAGATATCCAAACGAACATAATACTTTCTTCAGTATCTTTAATAAAATCAAGACTTGATGTTATGTTTTAGTAAAATCTAATAATATCTCTCTCTTTTGGTGGCCTTAGCCTGGGATCTGGAGATGTATATTCGTACCTGGTCAGTGACACCTTAGGACGAGACACCTACACAGAGCGATACCTATTTGTTTACAGGTAAGAAACAAGAGACAGCTTCCTCTAAGGTGTTAACGCTGGCCAATAAAATACGAGGAGGCCAAGCTTTACACAAATACTTAAACCTGATTGGCAGCTATGCTTCCGGTTCACCTGGCCTTAAATTTGAAATGCACTTTGAATTCACCCTGTGATTTTCTTTTATAAAAAATGCAGATTTCAAAAGAAATTGACACTTTTATAAATTAACCTTTTTACATTCACCTGGCAGTCAATCAGACAGCAGGTCCTGTCACTTCCTGGTTTGGTTAACTCAGTGGACGTAAACTGAAGAGGCAGCAATTGCTCAGACCACCTGCCTTGCAAAGACTTCTCATTAGGAAGTCTGTGATTGGACAGCCACAGAAAGTCTGGGCAGGGATAATAGGGGACGGTAGCGTTTGTAAGATGTTTTTATGTTATACCCACAATATAAAAATACGTAATTAAATCCATGCATGTTTTCATTGGGTTTATATCTACTAAACAGTGATGTTTATTTTTGATTTAAGCAGTGGAATATCATTTTAATTACACACAAGTTCTATCTCAGGGCCGGTGCTTCCTATAGGCAACTTAGGTAGGGGCGCCGCCAGGAGCACCAACCACTCAAATGCAGCAGCCGCCTGAGCGCTCTATAGAGAGCCTCAGGCGGCTGCATCACTGTCTGGGCCGGCTTGTCCATGAGGGCGCACTGGCCCGGGGCGCAAGTAAAGAGGGATCAGCAGGAGGGAAGCGCAGAGTGCTCCCTCCTGCCTGTCCCTCAGTGTAGCGTGGCCGAGCTTCCGGTCCACGGTACAGGAACATCCGTTTCCTGTACCCGGCCGGACTGACAGGAAGTGCTCAGTCGGCCGGGTACAGGAAACAAAAGCTCCTGTACCGCGCACCGGACCGGAGGTCTGCCACGCTACAATAGAGGTAGGGTATCTGCATGTTGTGTCCAAACCTCTAATCTATATTTTAATTCTAGGAATGACAAAGTATCTGTGCAAGACTCTTATCACTTCCATGATCACAACATGTACACCGGAGAGGACACCTTTAGCAGGGAGCCATTTGTGGTCATGTTCAACGCCCCGGGAACAGGTGAGAGACATAGGATTTAACTTGATTCCTTACAGTGAGACTGCAAGGTGACACATACCAGAAGAAGCTAAGTATGTCTTATTAGTCTGAAGTCATCTCATCCTCTGCTGTGTACTGTGTGCATTATTTATACCGATTCACACATAGCCCAGTGACTAGGATGCCAGCAGCTGATTATATTTCAATCAATGAAACTGTTAACATCGTTCCCTCCCCAAACCTCACTAACCCACATTGCTTCCTCTCCTGTGTCATCTAAAACAAAGTATTAATTCTTCTATCTACTGCCAGCCCTCGTTTTCCATTACATGAAATATATCCTACCTTTACCTCTTGTGTAATTATACCAGTCTACTTAAAATGTAAGATTGTTTAAAGGGTGTAGTCCAACCAAACAAACTGTCTTTTAAGAAACTCTTATGGCTGCCTCATCATCTTATATGTCGTAACGTAGAGGGCCTTTGCCCTGTGCACCCCTCTAGGATCAGTCCTGCCTATAAGGTGTCCATTAATGTAAAGATATAGGTCAAGGCCAGTTCGGAACTTAGAAAGGCATATCCATTATTGGTCCAAAGATTGGTGGTCTTCTTGTTTTGTAACTCGACAGTTGGTTAACTTGAGGCAACCATCAAATTGCACAGTGGACAATGTTAATTGAAGTTCTGCAATGAGGGAGAGATGGCTATTAGTTTAAGTCGTGTCTACATTTACCCAACACTAAACTGTGGTGTCTATGTCTTTTTTCTATAGCTATCGGAAGTTTTGTGTTAGTCCCATTACATGCTGCCCCTAAAGACGCCGTGCGTGAGATAGATGGGTTATTTGATGTCTACGAAGACGTGTGGAACAAATGGGAGACAGATGTAAGTTGTGACATTACAACAGGGAAACATCTTATAGGTTTGTGGACATGTTTCTTGGGTGAGAGCACAGAGATTATGATGTTTGTAGGACCGGTACATTGTTAGCTCCGGTTGTGCTGACATAAAATGTACTGTGCTATCACATTAATGTAATGTGAAGGATGTTATGATGTTTCCTTTCTCAAAAACACATTGCTCATGCCACATGTATTTACAAGTTATAAAGCAGGAGAGACCAGGGGTAGAACAGCATCTCTGTGATGCTTTGGCCTAGAGTCCGGGCTCAGACAGGGACCTGGAGCTTCGGCTCTGGCTTTGAGGGGGCCTTCGCTCAGCGGGCAGGGAGATCAAAATTCTCACTTTAACGATTAACCCTGTTAGATGCAGTCAGCACCCAAGTGAAACTGGCGAGTTAGTTATTATAATGTCTGCTGGATGCTGCTTAAGAAGTCAACAACAACGCATTCCTTCAGAACATTGAAAGACTCTTTCTCTGTTTTTTTATTTTTTGTTTTGCATTACTAATATAAACTTTTTAAAATGCTCTACCTATTATGTGCCTGAACACACTTACACTTATATTATATATAGTTAATACATTGATAAACATAAACACACACCAGTCAAGTCATACTGGGTAGGTTTATGCAAATAAGCTCAACAAAGAACCAAATTTTTGCCTCAATTCCACTTTATAGATGGATTCCTACCCAGAATCCCTTACAGTAGTGAGAGCACTGTTAAAGTGAGATTTCTGTCGGAAAAGCAAGTCTTCTGGCTTGACAGGTGTGTATTTGTGTTTAGCAATGTATTAACTATCCACTTTCTTCATGACTAAGGGGTTTTCATCCACACTTTTTCCCCCGCCACAGCTCTCTTGGTATGTAAATATATATATATATATATATATAAATGAAGAAAAATTGAAAAATGAGAGCACTCGCTGGATTTAACACAAATTATTTGTATTTAAATGGTGAACAAAACAATCAACGTTTCGACCGTCTCGTGGTCTTTATCAAGATCATGATCTTGATAAAGACCGCGAGACGGTCGAAACGTTGATTGTTTTGTTCACCATTTAAATACAAATAATTTGTGTTAAATCCAGCGAGTGCTATCAGCTCTCAACGTTTCGACCGTCTCGCGGTCTTTATCAAGATCATGATCTTGATAAAGACCGCGAGACGGTCGAAATGTTGATTGTTTTGTTCACCATTTAAATACAAATAATTTGTGTTAAATCCAGCGAGTGCTCTCATTTTTCCATTTTTCTTTGTATATATACAGAGAAGCACCCTGGTGTTTTTTGTAATTATTATTACATAACTTTGGAAAGAGTGCCAGATTTTGGATGATTATATATATATATATATATATGTACATATATATATATATATAAAAAAGTTATCGTACCTTGCACTCAGGCTTCACTGTTGTATAACCGGGTGCATCAGCAGGGTTCCAGTATTCAGGCAATTGAAATGGTTGGCTGCACTCACGGATTTTTCTTAAAACTTAACTTTTATTTAATTATATAAGAGCAGATCAACGTTTCAGTCCCTCTTGTGGATGATCCTGATGAAAGTCCACAAGAGGGACTGAAACGTTGATCTGCTTATATAATTAAATAAAAGTTAAGTTTTAAGAAAAATCCGTGAGTGCAGCCAACCATTTCAATTGCCTATATAAAGGCAATTTAAAAAAAAAATTTTTTTACAAGTGAATGTAAAGGGTTTTAATTGAATTACTTTAATCCTTTGCAGAACATCATTTTCCTAGGAGATTTTAATGCCGCCTGCAGCTACGTGTCCTCGTCTGATTGGGCTAATATCCGTCTCCGTAATGAAGATGTCTTCTCCTGGCTCATCGCAGACTCGGTGGATACAACTGTGGGAGCGTCAAACTGTGCATACGACAGGTAAAGGCCAGCTGCTAAGAGGGGGCTCATTCACAGTGAGGATAGAGATGCTGAAGAGAGCTATGATATAGCGTTCTATAAAGAGCTAACATGCAGACAAATTCAGAACCAGAACATTGGGATCAAAATGAAACAATACCTGTCCCTCCACTCCAATATTCCTTAACCAAATGTGACACATAAATGTGAGAGGATTAATCACAGCAGCTACCCTGTATATGCTGTAGTTGTTGTGATATTGAGCAGGAGAACCTCTCAGTAAAAAGACGTCCTGTTCATGTCTGTCTGTCAGTTAGTTGATGTTTAGATGTCTTCACTGTGAATTGATTGACAGGAGAGGGGAGAGTGGTTCTCTCATTAATTCTACTAGCACAAGTCAAAAATGAAATATTTTTAATGTAAAGTAGTGTCCCCCAACCCCAGGACAAGTACATTTTCAGTCTTCACGGGGCATTATCTCAGAGGTAGTGTAATTCATTTTGCTATAAAAACATGGATCACTTCAATGGAAGAACTACCTCTGGTGCAATCAACTTGGAGTCTTTGGTAGTGAGGACCTCTAAGTAGCAAAGTTAATTGGAGAGTTATAATGTAGAAGATGAAATAGACTGTGTGTTAATGTCAGTGAGTACCCAGAAAATGAGCATTCTGGTTCTCAAGATATTCAATAGCCCCTACATTCAGAGAACAGAAACAAACATTAAGAAAAAGGTGACAGATCTGTTCTAATGTAATATTAGTATAATTTAGCTCTGTATAGGTATTCTGAATATTACATTTCTTTTTCAGGATCGTAGTTAGTGGCTCTGACTTACAGGAGGCAATAGTTCCAAACTCCGCCAAAGTATACAACTTTCAGAAAAAGCACAAAATGACAGCGGAGGAAGTGAGTATATAGCTATATGTGTAAAAATGTCTACTAACTATATTGATGTACAGCTTTTCTTTAAGGGACACTTATACTATTGAATTTTTTTTAGTCCTGCAATCTGAAAAGAAACTTTAGAACTGAATACAAAATAAATAAAATAACTATTTTCATTTTTTAAATTATTTATTTTTGTTGTGCATAACAAAATAACATACAGGCCGACAATGCCACGATAGCAGAGTCCAGCATATAAAATTTTTAGCAGACTTAGTTGAGTGTCATGTGGCAGGATGAACGCAGATTATCCTCAAGGTAAATTCGAGGTAGCAGGAGCAACTAGAAAGCACGTCCTGCCATCTTGGGTGCCTGGTCCTGCCCCTAAAATAACTATTTAACAATAATATTAATCTTTTTAAAATTGCTTACTGGAACATAAGATATTTTAAAAATAGGGTTTAGTCTGCGTGCTAAACTCACTTTTTCTGTACCAGGTATAAAAGAAAATGTAAACACACACAGGCGGCTAATGCAAGCAATTAACAGAGAAGGAGATGTAAAATTCTAAATTAAACACAGTGCCATGAATACTTGTTTTCAGGAAGTGTGCAGGGAGCTGTTTGAGTCTCAGCCTTGGGAAGTGTGGCTAGGGCTACATAAAAGTGATTTGACTCCTAAATGGCAGAGAATTGAGCAATGAGACTGCAGTGACACCATAACCACTTTATGTATAATGATTCTAAGTGAACACAAACAAAATCTATATATTTGCAGGCTTTAGCGGTGAGTGATCATTTCCCTGTGGAGATGGATCTGAAATCTGCTTGAGGTAGGATTTCCAAATTCAACAAGAAGAAGGACAGAATGTACCCTCCCAACATGGTGATTTCAGCTGCATTTGCCCCGTGTGATGTCAGGATGTACCTTGGATGCAGCTATCAGTCTTCATATCCGAAAATTCATATACCAGTACTCATCTTCCTTATATGTGAATATACTAAACACTTACACACACCGCCACTACATTTTTATATACACCCTTATAAATACACAAAGTGTACATAATATAGATTATTTATCATTTAAAAGTCGTTAGATAATATGAATGTGTTTCAGAAATTAGATGGAACCTTGGTCCGGTCTTTCTGTGACCTCAAAGGCATTGAGGGCAAAATGACAGCCCTGGCGTTAAGATGGACATAGACTAATGATGCATGGTTTGAAAAATCTTACTTTTATTTCTATGTTCCTTGGCTCCCTCAATCACATCAGCAAGGGACGATACTGATTGTACCCTTGATAATATAAAGACCAGACTTCTACTCTCTATCAATGAGGATACTTTTTAATAGGATGAAATTGTTGTTGTTTTTAAACTTGCAACACTGACAAAGATTTTGGTGAAAAGGTGCTGAAATGGTTTGAAGATATTTCTTAGAATTACATTTTCAGAAAATCCTGGTGCTAACAAGAGTAGCAATGGCCATCAATAGAACCATCACAGGCTGCCCAAAATCATTTATCGTATGATTTATACCATTCTTAGAGGCAATCCATTCAAATCCAAATAGCAGAACTGTAATTTTTTTTCTCCAGATTTTTATAGTGGAAAATTTTGAAATTAATTTATATATGATCCTGACAAGAATATGCTCTAGATAATTCTCTTTTAAGTCATCCGAATTAGAGGTCCTTAAAATTATTCGACCTAAACTTCAACACACCTTCATTCCCTAATTTTAATTTCCTTGGTCTGTGGATTAACATAAATAATTTCCTGACAGATCTTGATCAATGTTTTATAAACCGGCTCTGCCACATAAGCACTCTCATGGTAAATTTTAGACGAATCGCAATATGCCTCCCAGTACTTTTATCGCGCTAATCTTAAACTCAGTCAGTTACCAAAACATGGCAAGCCAAACCTCCTATGGGGAGCACACATCTCTGCTGAAAGAACCAATCACATACGGATACACATGGATAGATCTTGATCTTTTAAATTCTACATTTTAAATTGGATGCAGACACTACATTACAAAGCTGCTCAGCTCTTTAAATGTGCCATTTCCCCCCTTTAATTCCAAAAAGTGAAACATGAAATTACTTTTTATATCGTATTTTTTTTTTTTAGAATATATGATTATACGTACTCAATCCCTGTATACCCTGCAATTTCTTTTAATTTTTAAAAAGGAAATCATGTTTTTTATCTTCATGCTTTGTTGTCCTATACTCAGTAGAAATATTATAGGCAAATGGAAAATAAAATAAAACTATATATATATATATATAAAAAAAAAAAAAAAAGTACATGTTTAGTAACATCGATTAAAGTGGCTCGGTTACCTAAACTGACCTTTCTCCTCGGCTCTCTTCCAGAATCTGTTCTTTTCTTCATTTTTACATAAAATACAAGAAAATGTCTTAAAACATGACAATGTAGGGACTATTTTGTTTGATGTGTTTTGCCTACACTTGACAATTGTGGCATAGGGTAGGCTTAAAGGAAGCTTTCTTTGTTATCTTGACAAAGTGGAGCTTGTCTTAAAGGGACACTTTAGTCACCCAGACCACTTCAGCTCAATGAAGTGGTTTGGGTGCCAGGTCCCCCAGGTTTTAACCCTTCAGATGTAAACATGGCAGTTTCAGAGAAACTAGTGGCTGTCTTCCTGAGGCACTTCCCCGACGCTCAATGCGAAAATCGCTTTCAGCGTGCAGAACGTCCATAGGAAAGCATTGAGAAATGCTTACTATGGACTGTTTGAATACGCGCGCGACTCAGGAGCCGACATGGGGGTGGGAGGAGAGTTCACCAGCTCCGAGGGAGCCTGGCGCTGGATAAAGGTAAGTAATTGAAGGGGTTTTAACCCTTTCAGCCCAGCGGGAGGGGGTCCTAAGGATTATATAGGGACAGGAAAACGAGTTTGTTTTCCTTACACAATAGTGATCCTTTAAGTTCCACCATAGTCAAGCGTAGGAAAAATACAGAAGACAAAATAGTTCCTACATTGTTTTAATGTTTTAAAGAGAAAAATCAGAAATTAAGAAAAGAACAGATTCTGAAAGAGGAAACAACAGGAGAAAGGTAAGTTTGAAGTGCCACTTTAATTAAAATAAAACTCATATCATGACCTGAGTCCTTACGGGTTTAAAGAGGTAAAGCCTCCTCTGTTGCCGTACCAGTATCTAGATGGAAACAGGTGGTAGTAATCCGAATGATATTACATTTTATGCATAATATTCATATTTAATAAATTGCCACGATGTAAATTTATCTTTCATTATATACAATTTTAGCAACATGTGCAAATGTATAGTAAAATATGTGTTTAGAGTTGAGAGTTCATCCCATAAATGTTCACAATATATCATTTTGAAACGGCTGTATTAATTTAGGTTTAGCCTATATGTGATATGCTGGGTCAGAATGTTTGATCATTGTTAAAATAAAATGTGGCTTCTTATGTCGAAAAGCATATTACTGACTACATTTCCTCATATGTGTCCCTTACCTTGAACTTTGTATACAAGTGCAACAACTATAGTTATTTGATATGTTTTAGTATATATAACCCAGAATCACTTACAGGGTTATTCACTACAGTAAGAATTGCTGAGATTTCATACTAAAGACAAAATAGCCAAACTGGGGAAATTCTCTAAGTCATCTATGCCTCCAGTTTGGCAACTCTGGCCTTAAAGGGTAACTATAACACATTTGAGAGGGGGGACCTATCTGGTGTAATAGGCACTATTGGCACTGCGCTGTAAAACCTGTAATAAAAGATTTTACTTATCTGAAATCCAGCGCCATGCAAAGCTCCCAGCGCTGCTTTTAGGCTCCCCCACCTGATATCGCTGTGCCTGTGCGCAGTCCAATAAATCGGCTTCTCATAGGGAAGCCTTTGATCGGATCTATTTGCAGGCTCAGATCTCATATGCGTGCTCTGGGCCAGCGAGGGGTGGGTGGGAGGCAGATGGAGGGTTTCTTTTTAAAAAAACAAATAAAGAAGCTCCGGAGGAGGGAAGATGCATCATCTCCTTGCAGGCACTCTGCCTGAAAAGCAGTGCAGACAAAAGTAAAAATATGTTCAAGTTGTGTTATCAAAAAAAGCCCACTTAAGAGTCCTAGAACCAACGTTGCAATTAAATAGACATTCAAGCAGGGCTTTTACAATGACAATGCCATGATTGGATAATTTAATTCCAGGCGGGTAATACATAATCCACCCTTTGAGCCAGATAATGCGTGTTAATGCACAATCCATCTTCAAAACAGAAAGTTAGATATGTACTATTTTAAAACTGTTCATGGAGACAGGCGTTTTCAATAGGCTGTGTTTGTTTTTTAAATTTCCACATTTGGCATATTAGGAGTAAATCCAGAGCTTGATCAAGGTTGCCAGTGAAAAGGACACATTCTGAACAGTTACTGTAGGCTTTCAGTAGTAAAAGTATAAAACCAAACCAAACGCTCACCGACGTGTTTAGCGAATAACTGGTTCATGTCAGAAAGAAGAACATAAAAACTGTAAATATACAATATATTTATTCATCACAAATTATTAAAGTTCATTGTTATAAATGACATAAATGTGTGTTTGACGATACCTGTGTACTCAAAGATCAAACATAGAAAACAGGTCGCGCTAGGAGCAACCTACAGATCATATCTTTAAGGCTCCATGTCATTTGTCTAAATAGAATTAGAAATTTAAAGAAGGAGGTTAGCATATGGAAGACAAAAGATCCAATTTTTTAACAGCAGGAACTGATGCAGAAAAAGCCACAGTGGTTAAAGGTTGAGGATTCTGTTCTTGCTCACATCATACGTTTTTATTTTGTAATGGCCAATTTTAGTTTTCTACAGTGCTGCCTGCTTTTTGCAGATTACTACTTTTTCTGTTTCAGTCTGTCCATGTATGCCTGCAGAGATTTCTGGATAGAGTCCCTTGTGATAAAGCTAACAAAGTTGTTGATATCTGCTTCCCTTTGGCTCACCAGCCTCTCTACGTACTGCTTCCGCATCATGGACTTTGTGAGCTGCCTGGCATGGTCTGTGAATGAAGCATAATATTTCATACATTACAGTCTGTAATATTGCTAAACATTTGGAAACACTGGTGTATATTATAAGGCTTTAAAGAGAGAGAAAGTGAGGCACAGACAAACAGATACAGAAAGAGAAGACAGAACCACAATAATACGCCCTAAGTGAAGATCTTTTCAGAGTAACAGGAGACACAGAAAAAAAAGGCTCCTAAATAAAGGGGTTATTAATAATCAGAGCATTGAGGTCAACATGACCAAGAAAAACAAAATAGAATAGAATAAAACCTCCACAAAAAAAACCCAAACCTCAGGCAAAATGCCCTCCTCCCCAACACTTGAAAGTCACTTAGAGTTCATTAAACTAATAATCCTAGTTAGATCAGTTTGCCTATAGCTAAAATGGTGGAGTTAAACGTCATTACTTTGTACAGAAATAAATATGAGATAAGTGATTGTCTTTAGGGTTGCAAATCCCCAACATAGAATACAGGTCTATGTTGGGGATTTGTAGACCTTTCTACAATAATTACCTGGAACCTTGAGCCATTGAGTCACGACGGCAGCTGCGGCACTCTCTACTTTATCTTCTGGTACCAACTGATCCACAAGACCTATCTTCAGCGCCTCTGGGGCAGGAAACATCTGTCCCAGCTGGAGAGATTGCTCGGTCATGCGATTACCAATTACGTTTGACATAACATCTTTGAACCTGTCAGTAGCAGGAGAAGATTAATTACATCAGCATGGCTTGTGCAAATGAACAAGAAAGACTTTAACAGCTTGACCATGCTCAAAGTCTGCGTTCAAGGACAGAGGGTTTGGATACGATGCCTCTGGTGGATAGAGGTGGAGGTGTGTTAAATCGTAGGGATTTAAAATGCAACGTTTTCAGATATAGCTTGCTACAACCATAACAATTTCATCAAATGGCAGCCATTATGGTACTTGAGGTGATCCTTTAAGAATTAATTATGCACGTTTACTCAACAATCCATACAGTGTCTAGAGGTAAGATTGTCCCTCTTACACAAAATATATATAACAAAGACAACAACCCAGATACTAAAAGAAAATGGCTAAATGTAATTTGCATGTTGGATGAGGCTAAAAAGGTGTGTGGATGTCAAGCCCCCATTAAACTGCTCTGCAAAAAATTGGTCACATTTAACAACAAATTCATATGAATTTTCACAGTGATTTCAATTTTTGTTTTGCATGAAGTTCACAAATTTAGATGCACTGCTTTGCAGTCCCCAGCTGTACCAAACTTGTTATGATTTAAAGAAAATAAATAACCAGAGTATAAATATTCTTGTAGCGCAATTAGTACTAAAACGATTTGTTTTATGCCCTACCAAAATGGTGCGACTATACCAAGCTGCGTCTCGTTCAAGCCGATTGCAAACTTTGGGCTGTCTGCCATGATTCGATAGTCACAACACATTGCCATGAGGCAGCCTCCAGCAGGACTGGAACCCTGAGAGACAGAGAATAATAATTATCTTTAAAATAAAGTAAAATTAATTATAAGAAAGAGAGAGAAAAGGGAATGGGGAACATAAAACTTCTTATTTGTTAATATCATGTAAAAAAACGCTCTTTGTGATTGTTCATTATAATTTAAACATTTCTGTGAATTTCCAGAATTTAGATTTACAAGGCGCATTGGCTCAAAATAAGTACTGGTGTCCTGACTGCAATCCCAACATGCTTTGCTAGTACCAGAGAGGATTACTTGCATTAATGGCTGCTACTGTCATCATGTTGGATCCGTACAGTTTTATCCAGAATTCTTGCAGAGCTCTCCAGAAAGCTGCACAGTGCTCTGCACTTTTACCGCACATTTCAGTGATGTCAAGACCCGCAGAAAAAATTTTGGGAACAACCTAAACAATGGATGGAACAAAAATTATTTAGTAAGTGAATTTAAAAAAAGCAACAAAAAAAAAGCAACAACACACAGAACAATTGTGTTTAGAGTAAACCCCCCCCCACCCCCAAAAAACCACACGTAGTTTTTCATTTCTATTTTGTACTCGAGCACAGATACTGTACGACAGTTCAGTGATACTGAAAATGTGCCTGTATATTCCATTTGTTTAATAATAATACATTTTAAAAAAAGAAAGAAAAGAGTTACAATATCACTAAGCATACTGAATGTCCACAGAATATTTTTTATTAATTTATTACTCCTTTTGTTTTATTATAACTTGCGTATTACAAATTGTTAGAGCACAGGGCAAAGTACCAGTTTTTACACATACAGAGGTCAGGATAACTCCTCGACATCCGCGGTCCATCTCCAGTTTCTCTAAGGTTATGGAAAATTCTGTTAGAAACTCCAAACTCATGCTGTTGACTGGAGGGTTTTTCATTTTTAGAACTGCCACCCCTGAGAAAAGAGAGAGAGAAAAAATAATACAAAAAAATATTACAGCGTACGCAGGCCTTATCAGCATGAGAGCAGATCAGGGGAGCGTAGGATGCTTCCTTTGATCACTAGGGCACATCACCTTAGTCAGAAACCTGATATAGGCCTGTTGCAGTGCGGCATGTAGTCATACATTACATGCTGTCAATGGAAAGCATACGGGACTATGGGCCTAGGACGTAAAGCCAGTTGCTAAATGTTTAAACACGGATCTTTAGATTTAGTGTCTGTGTGAACTAGAAAGGAAAAAAGAAAGAAGAGGACAAATATATATATGTGTACACACAAATAATAAGATGAACAAGTACTTCACTGTGGGTCATACGTTATAGCATCCAATGAGTCTCTACTGGGATATAGCTTTGTTAGTAAAATAATTAGGGGTTTATTTACTAAACATGTGAAATGTGATGAACTGAATCGAAAATCGCAGCAGAGTTAGTGATATCTTCTAGTTTGTCCTGCAATTTTACACTTTCTGGTAAATTCACAGTTTAGTATATATGGCTAATTGTCCCCATTAGAAAACAGACTTTTTATTTTTTTGGGGAGTGTGTGTGTGGGGGTGGGGGTGGGGGAACTGCCTGCATCACTGGAGCAGAAAAGGGTCTTTTTTAAAGAATGCACCTGATAAGAGTTATACATGAGAAAACGTTCTCACTAGCGTATTATGGGAAATAAACATTCTGCGTTGTTGCGAATTGAAAACCAAACTGCAAAACTTGTGTAACAGAATGAAATAAGTTGCTAAGTCTTCAAGTCACTATTTAGTTTTCAGTTTACCAATAATCATAAATCTCACAAAAGTTTTACTAAAATTCTAAATATTTTTTAGAATTCTTTATTTTTTGTTGTGCAAGAGGTTACAAGCAAGCAATGACAGCGTCAATAAGTACTTAATAGATAATGACAGAGAAAAAGACAAAACGATACATGGCATCGATATACTGCACAATTTGTGTGTATAAACAAGTCGAACAGGGCTCTTAAGCAAGCTGTCTTCCAGACAAGGCAGAGGATCATCTGCCTTCCCCGCCTCGAGTATGGTCGAAGGCCGCTCAGAAGCCTAGCACAGGCTATATCTACCAAACACAGGCAAATGTCGGTACAAAAGTTCCACGGAGCATTCTTCAGCCAATTTAGCAGGATTAGTGCCAGAGTTATAGTAGTAATGTCAAGTATATGGCTTAAAACTCAGATTCGGCAACATAAAAGCCTTATTATATTCTGAGAGAGATTATGAAACCAGCTGAACTATCTGGTTGTTAAGCAATGTCAGCTATTATTAACCTTCGCTGGTACGATCTCTGTACGGCACAGTCATTAAATCACTAATAGCTATCCTCTCAAGCTGGGCCTTAAATAATTAGAATGTCTTAGACCAGTCGACCGCACTCATACTGGATATTCTGGATATTTCTTTTCAGAATGAATGCTACCTAATCCACAGTGTAAATACAAAATGGGAGGTTTACGTGAACGGACAAAGTAAACATGTTGCTAAAATTGTATTATTTTTTTTTCTATTACAATTTTTGCTTTAGTTAAAGGAACACTATAAATTTAGGAAGATGACTAATCCTAACACTATGGTGCCCTACTTTGCCCAGTCCCCCCCCCCATCCCATATAGTCTCACCTGTTGCTTCATCCAACTCCACAAGAATTCTGCTGTTACTAAAGTTTCGTCGGCTGCAACAATGCTGCCATGCCCCTATACTTGTGGTGCGGGCATGAAGTGTACCTGGGTAAATTACAAATATGAAAATAAAATTAGAAATTTCTTGCAGATAACGCTAGATACAGGATGGTGGAGAATTTTACTGCAATAAAATGATGATAAATGAATTTATTTTAAAACATCATATACAACAAAGAGGGGAAAAAAATATTCTCTCTCTCTCTCTCTCTATAAAAATAAAAATGTCCCAGTCAGAGTGAAGTGTTCATGGTCTTTTATGCTGCAACAAAAGCATGTTTATCTTTATCAGTGAAGTCCCCTGAGTATTCCCCTTTCTGCCAATGTAACACCATGAGAGACTGCACCAAGATAAGCAAGTTGTCAAGTGCTGTGCCAAAGACTGATTTTATATACATACATTCCCTCATACTACTGTAATAAATTAACTTTGGATATGATACCACTGGAAACTCCATTGGACAGCATGTTTCAATAGAAAAACAACTATATAAATAAGTGCATTTATAAACTAAGCTTGTTTGAGCAGGGTCCTCTTCAACCTATCGTTCCTATAAGTTTTCTTGTAATTGTCCTAGTTATAGTTAAATCCCTCCTCTTGTAATATTGTAAAGTGCTACGGAATCTATTGGCGCTATATAAATGGCAATAATAATAAAGTGCATGTCCGGGATAAACACAGCCAATCTGGAAACCTTAAAAAGGACATTGTAGGCGCGCTAACTAATCTCATTGAAGTGGCTGTAGTATGATGAAAATGGTTATAGTGCCGACAGTGTCCCTTTAATTAACATGTGTCCTGGTGTGCTTGGCCTGCTATGCTCTCCAGCTCTTGCACTGCTTCTAAAGACCAATGGGCAGTACATGAATAGCTCATCCATGTAGTATGTAGCAACCATATGCTGCAGTAGTGCAAGCAGCTGATTAAAGGGTTACTCTAAGCACTATGGTCACTTCAGTGATCCTGAAGTGATTATGGTGCCCGGAGTCTGTATGTCTGGCATTTCATTATGATTATGCATAATTAGGGTGTCATCAGAGTTCGGGGCTGCCTAATGTCTATTCTGTGGAACTTTTTTTGCACAGATAGTCATTGGCTGAAAGCCACCTACCAATGAATGGCGATGGCGGCGATTTCTGCGGCTCTGCAAAAGCAGGCACCACGTCAATGGACCCACAGTAAACATAGTGTTGCCTCATTACCGGGCCAGGGTACCCCCAACACCATGACCACAAGGATTGGAATAACTTTTTAATTAACGTTTTTCCTAATTGCACCACATGTGCTCTACATACTGCTGGGCAGCCCCCTTCTCCCCTCCCCCACTCCGAAACACATACTTAACTTCTGGCTTAACATGTACCTAAAAAAACCTTTTTATAACATATATATTAATAAAATATATTACAAATTATAATTGTATTAATCGTACTCCACACGGTGACAGGCTCTATTTTGGTGATATTTTAATATATAACATGCATTTTAACTCTCTGAAGATATGATGCTTTCAGTCTGGACAGGTACTGGTTTAAATGTAAAATACTTTGTACTTTTATACATTACTCCAAGTATTATACTGTATTATAGAGAGAAAGCAGTGACTGTACAATGTAATGTAACTTTATTAGTCCCTCTCTCTCTATCCCCCCATGTTGGAGCCAGCCAGCCAGGTCCCCCCCTTCCCCCCATGTTGGAGCCAGCCAGCCAGGTCCCCCCCCATGTTGGAGCCATGTTGGTGGGGGAGGACATGACATTGACAGGGCAGGGGCGCGCGGGAGCACCATAGAGTTGTGGCGGACTGGGTAGGAGGTGGGGGTAGGGCGTCCCTGTGCCTCGCGCCAGTGTCGCGGGGGAAGTGTGAGCGCGCGGAGTGTGGCGGTTGGGGAGGCTCAGGGCGGGAAGTCAGTCACGCACCTGCCAGCAGCCGGGCGGGAGCAGCCCAGCTCCTCAGTAATGTCACAGCCGCCATCTTGGGGGAACTTTTTTTTCTCCCTCTGAGCCGGGTTACAGACAGACAAGTACTGAGTCCTGGCAGGGGGTTCGCTCAGTAACACTAAGCATAGGAAGAGCGACCCCTGGCGGCCGGGGAGGGGAACTACACCGAAATTATTATTATTATTATTATATTATACCAACAAATAAATTATTATCATTATTATATTATACCTCTCAATAAATTATTATTATACCTCTCAATAAATTATTATAACTCATTATTATACCTCTCAATAAATTATTATTATATTATACCTCTCAATAAATTATCATTATACCTCTCAATAAATTTTTATTATTATACCTCAAATAAATTATTATATTATACCTCTCAATAAATTTTTATACCTCTCAATAAATTATTATAACTCATTATTATACCTCTCAATAAATTATTATTATTATAACATTATTATACCTCTCAATAAATTATCATTATTATACCTCTCAATAAATTATCATTATACCTCTCAATAAATTTTTATTATTATACCTCCAAATAAATTATTATTATATTATACCTCTCAATAAATTATTATACCTCTCAATAAATTATTATAACTCATTATTATACCTCTCAATAAATTATTATTATATTATACCTCTCAATAAATTATCATTATACCTCTCAATACATTTTTATTATTATACCTCCAAATAAATTATTATTATATTATACCTCTCAATAAATGATTATAACTCATTATTATATCTCTCAATAAATTATTATTATTATAACATTATTATACCTCTCAATAAATTATCATTATTATATTATACTTCTCAATAAATTATTATTATTATAACTCATTATTATACCTCTCAATAAATTATCATTATTATATTATACTTCTCAATAAATTATTATTATTATAACTCATTATTATACCTCTCAATAAATTATAAAGTATTACAGCAACACTCCATTACATATGCATAGGTATATTTATACATATGACGCCCCCAACACACAAAAGTAAAATAAATATACACGTAATTTGTGTTACATATGTATGTGGGCTAAGCCTTATATAAATAATAACATAATAATAATAATATGCCTTCTAAATTACTCTAATACATATTTCTCTGGGTAAAAGTGTATTTTAGTGTATTTTATTATTTGCCTTTCCGTTTAGGTGCGATTTTAGCAATATAACTAACTCATATAGTATTTATTTTACTTAGAATGTGGGGGTAAAGGAGTATTTTAGCGTATTTTATTATTTGGAGTCAGTTATTTTGCTCATTGTGTCACTTAATCACACCCGAACGAAACGGCAAATAATAAAATACACTAAATACACTTTTACCTTTCCTTGGTGTATTTGAAAGTGTTTCTGTGCACAGCCACGTTATTGAGATAATGATATCTGGGCGCCATGTCCTCGGCAGGAACAGCGATGTTTTTATTGCAGGGTTAACCTTCCTCTAGTGGCTTCCATGACATGGTGTAATAAAGCTCCGCTATTTCTATAAGAGGGTCTCAGAGAGACCGCCTGTCTGATTGGTGGAGCTCTGCGATTTGCTGTGCGTGTGCATTATTATTATTATAATATTAATTTTATAGCGCCAGCAAATTCCGTTGCGCTGTACAATAGGAATAGTCTCCCAATGCTTTCCAATGGCTGAGATTATCACTCTCGATGATCTCAGTCAAACAGGCAGACCAGTGCAGCAAGAGAGGAAAGGTGAGTAAACTCAACTATTCAACCCTGGCAGCGGAGGCTTGGTCGCCTAGCCGGTGACTAGGACACTATAGTGTTCGGAACACACAGTTTTATTCCTTATTTCTAGGGTTGCAACCTGGCTGGTGTTTTACCGGCACGGCCAGTATTTGAGGTTGTCTGGTGCCGGTACTGCAAAGGCCGGTATTTTTCTCTGACAAGCTCTGGGAGAGTGGCGAGAGAAACGTCTTTTATATTTGACAGATTTACACATTGCTATATATATATATACACACAATAACACAAACAGACATAGTACACACACACTGTATAAAGACCCTAACTATGCAAAGTATGAAAAACAGCCTTCACAAGGTGATGTCCAAAATTATTTTATCTTTATTGAAGGCTTTTATAGCCGAAACGTCGTAATGTATTCTATGCTCCAGATACTTTGCGGGCTTCAATAAACCGTCCTTCTTGTGATGCCCCAACGTACGCACTTTTCTGAAGCACTACTATCTTTGAGCGGCCAGATACTCCGAGCCTATCAATGCTGGCCAAAAGAATATTTCCTGCACTTAAATGTTAAATCGTTCAAAAATGTTTTTAAACTAAAACAGTAATAAGGCACCGATGGATTCTGGGCATCATAACTCCATTCATGTGGAATGGTTTTTAATAAAATACACCAAAGAAGTGCTAAATATTCACACTTAGAGGCATTCAGTTCCAGGACAGAGCTAAATACAGCGATTTTTCTCCCATTGGGTCTCATAGCACTTTTCAGTGCACGCTCTTGGAATTAACCAAATCGGCAGCTGAATAGTAAAAGATGTTATTATTACCCAATTGATGGTACTCATTTTATCGACCTCGGAAGGATGAAGGGCTGAGTCCCTCCATTACTAGGTGTATGGCTGTAATTTCTTACTGACAGATTTTGCATAACTGTTTTAAATATACTACAGCTCAATGTCTTCAATAAACTCCTCAGTGGCAACAAGTTCAGACATCTGCATTTTCCCAGAATGTTGTATAAGTGTTAATGCATGCAGGCTATTTTTTTTCCTGTATCTATGAGCTCTATCAGTGTTGGGATGTCAAGACAGGAGACCAAAATCAGGACTTTTTTGCTGGGTCTTGGCCAGTCGGGATGTATGCCAATGTGATTATTTCCAAGGGCGCTCTCTAGTGGCTGATTATAAACAGAACACAAAAAAATTTAAAAATTTAAAAAAAGACAACAGTGACATCTAGTGGTAATTACAAGTGTTGAAAAGGCAGGTTATAAATAAGTCACCTAGCAGTGTTTTTTGGCATGGTGGGGTAGGGGCTAAATAATTCAGATAGACAGAAGATATGTCTTCCTGACATCACATGTGTGGTCCACTTCCTGTCTCCTGTTTTTAGTTATTAGGTTGGTTTGAATCCTCAATCTGGCTGGACGACACCTGGGGCCGGACCAATCAGAACAGTGACACAAGAAAAATACAGTTTTACATTTTACGCAGCTTCTTAAAATCACCCATCTTAGTGATTACTGTGGCATAGTGGTGGGCTTAACACAATATGGCCATAGTTAACTGAATCCCCATATTTGTTTAAGATTGGTGATTTTAAGTTGTGTATTAAAATTGTATTTTTCTTGTGTTTACACATTTACCTAATTTGTATTTTGTATATATTTTACGGCAGCACTGCTACTTGGGAAAGCATGTTCCAGGTGTGCCCCCAATTCCTCTTTTTTGGTGGTTTTTTTTATTTTGAAAATTAGTTTTTATTTATTTGTAGGTTCATCGTAAGTTAAACAGTAAGACTCGAAGGTCTAATCATTTATATAACATTTGCATAACATAAACAAGGAAAATTCGGGATCGATGAGAGAAATATACGTTTTGAAGACCCATTGGCTTGCCGGCTCATGTTATAATGGGACTCGCAGGTCCGAGTCGACTTTCTGGGGAGTAGATCTAGTTAACCTCTCCTTACTTTAGGGTACATATATACTCACTTCTGCTATAACATTGAATTTATCACCTTAGTTTTTGTGAAACTCCAGGTTTCAATCTTAAGTGGAAACTTAAAAGATATTATGTAGCTTATATTAATTGCTCGGGGTCTAGTTTCCCTCCATGACTTTTACCTATGGCAGAGGCCGAGTGTTGCTTAGCTTTCTCTGCACCTCCTCTGTGGTGCCTGAATCCGTGTCCTTAGCTGTTAGGTGTTGATGTTCTGTTGAAAATGGGAGTCTCTGTTGTGCGCGGGTGTGATGGGGTGTGTGTCTATCTAATTGCTATATGTTTGTTTTGTTTTGCTTTATTCCCGTCTAATTGCCAGGTATCCAAGCCACAGAGTGTCCTGGATCACTGTGCCACTGATCAGGTATCATTGTCTTTTGTCATTTTCCATCTTCTATTTCTTGTTTTGTTTATCCTTATTACTCTCCAAGTTTATTATGCTATTTGTCTGTCTCATAATCGGCCCGTCTGGCCTCGATCCCGGTTCCCCCAGGCCTGGTAGGGGGAGGGGGTAAGGAAAGGGTTAGGAGCAGGGGATAGTGGGCAATCAGGATATGCGGGGTGTGATTCCTCCCGTAAGGCTCGCGCCAGTCGGTACGGCTCCATCACGACGGTAACGGGAGATGTATAAGAACCATGGCATCCACAGATCCGCATGTGTAGAATATTGCATATTCTATGTTTCTATTGAATATATATATGGATGTGTGGATTGACATAAGTAACAGATGGTATCAATAAGTCACAAGGCTTTCTTTGTCCGAGAGCTCTGGAATGTGGATTCATATGGCTCCTTATATGGCTAGAGTTATATGCTGACGTTAGTATTAGCACTTCTTTATAGTAACAGAGGGACACGAGGTCACTCTGTCTTGGTTTGAGTCTTGGCTCTGTACAACGATGTAACTCTCCCATAAGAAGTCCAGCAATTACCATCTGCTGTTGAATGTCCACTATCCTGTAACATCATTTATTATGTTTTATTATGTATCCGTAACAAAGAATAAACCTGAAGAAACCGTAAGTCAGATTGCGTATTACTACTTTTCAATAATATAGACATATATTATTGTGGCGAGCATTTGGCCCAAGAATATATATACAAAAGACGTATATATATATATCAATCAACTGAAGATAAGAAGAAATTAAGAAGATTCTACATTAACACCAATCTCATCTACATTTTACAGCATGCCTGGTTCCTTGTCCTGTCAAGGTAGCATGTGCTTCTTCTGCTCCCTGAATATCTTCTACTCTGCGAATCCACTCTTTTCTAGTAGGTACTTCACTCTTTTTTCAGTGGGTTGGTATGTTATCCTTGGCGGCATTAAGCAGGTGTCGTAATACTGATTTCTTGTACAATGATATGGGTTGTGTCGAGATGTGTAACAATGCCAATTCCGTATTCCACTCCAGTATGTCTCCCAGGATAAGCTTCACTGTGTCCCTAATCATTTCCCAATATGGGGTGATATCTCTTCACTCCCACCAGATGTGTAGCACCGTGCCGCGTCTTTCCTGGCACCTCCAGCACACCTGGGGAATTGATGGGAATATTCGGTGTAGTAAAGTTGGTGTTCTATACCATAGGGAGAGCAATTTGTAATTAATTTCCTGGTAATAGGAACTCATAGAGCTCTTATGCTGCCACAACATCGCTTTATCCCATTGTGAGTGATTTTCCGAGTTGTTCCTCCCATTGCCGTTTAAACATCGTAACCGTAGGCGTGCCTCCGATTAGTAGATGTTGATATAGTGCCGAAATTGCGTGTTCTAGTGAGGTGCCTCGGTCGCAGAGGTCTTCAAACCACGTAAGGTCTCAATGTAGTCAATCTTTGTGCGGTAGTGATTCATAGAAATGTTTCAGTTGTAGGTATCTAAATTGGAGGAGAGGGGTTTGTGGCCTGTCTCCTAATAGCGAGGGAAGATCCCGCAGTCTCCTGTCCTCGAAGTTCCTCGTTTTTGCTGGTCTTATCAGACCTCTTCAGGGGGCTGCATATAGGGCTAGATTGATTTACTGTCTAGGAGTAATGGTTTTTGTGGACATATTGTCATATTCAGTGTCTCCCTTTTCTAATGATACCTCCTCCCCTCGTCCTGACTTGTCTGAAGTTCCCCAAGGCTCTGTCCTTGTACCCTTCTATTTTCTCTTTATACTGCCTCTCTTGGCAAACTTATTACCTCATTTGGATTCCACTACCACCTGTGCGCTGATGACACCCAGATATACCTCTCCTCCCCGGACCTCTCCCCTGCCGTCCTGCAACGTGTCACTGCTTGTCTTTCTTCCATCTCTGATTGGATGTCCTCCCGATTTCTGAAACTCAATCTCTCTAAAACTGAGCTCCATGTCTTTCCTCCTCCTAATACTGATCCTGCTCTTTCGCTCTCCCTTCAAGTCAGTGATATCCACATCAGTCTACCCTTGTAAGTGTGCTGTCTTGTCATCATACTTGATTCTGGCTTCACCTTTGAGCCTCACATCCGGTTTGTTACCAAATCCTGTAGATTTCATCTTAACAACATAGCCCGCATCCGCCCCTTTGTTACGCAAGATGCTACCAAGGAGCTTGTCCATGCTCTAGTAATCTCTCGCATGGATTATTGTAACCCTCTTATAATTGGTCTCCCCAAAAGCCGTATTGCTCTGCTTACAGTCTGTAATGAATGCTGCCCCAGACTGATTTTCCTCTCTAGTCAGTCAGACCTCTCACACCTCACCCCTCTGTCAGTCCTTACATTGGCTTCCTGTATCCTATAGGAGTCAATTCAAGGTACTAATTCACACCTATAAAGCACTGACCAATTCAAGCCCCTCCTATATCTCTTTACTGATCCACAGGTATGTCCCTTCTCGGTCTCTCTGCTCTGCCCATGACCTTCTCCTGTCCGCTGCAAGCACCCATACAGCTTGCAGGACTTCTCGCTGGTTGCTCCTTTCCTTTGGAATAGCCAGCCTACCACCATCATCTCAGTCTTCAATCGTGTAAAAAGTGCCTTAAACTTAATCTCTTTAGGAAAGCTAATGGCCTCCCAGAGTAACCTCTACCTCACATACCTGTCCCTTGCTCTCTCCTAAAGGGCAGCACTCTTTTTCCTCCTCCAGCTCCGCTTCACTCCACCTTGTTTGAGTGCTACCTCCTGTCCTGTTGGGTTTTACGCACCACCTCCTATAGACTGTAAGCTCGTTTGAGCAGGATCCCTTTTCAACATATTTCTGTAAGTTTTTGTAATTGTCTCATTTATTGTTAAATCTCCCCCTCTGATAATCTTGTAAAGTGCTATGGAATATGTTGGCGCTATAAAAATACCAGTAATAAGAATAGGTAAATGGCCTGATTGATTGTAGCAGTCCAGGGCCAAACAGATGGGCTGTCAAGGGGATGATTTTGGAGCCAACTGAAGAGTATTAACCAAAGGACGAAAACCAGTGGTCAGACAAGGGTGGTATGAATAGGATCTGCATCACAATGCCTATCAACAGGGTTCCTGGCTTCTCCATCTCCAAGTTCAACAACATCAAGTGATGCTTCATCTTCACATCCCCTTATTTGAATCCTGAATGAAGTCATTTGAAGATTGCCCAGATTAGTAAACACCATTTCCACACATATTCTGGCTACACCAAACTGATGTAAAATAAAGAGACTTTTACAGGAATACCTTGATGTTTTGTGATTTTCTCATGGGTGCAGATTGATGGTCTGTCTAAAGCTGGGTCGATGGCCTGCCTCTGATGCCACATTCACAAAACATGTCCAAGAGCCTGGATTAATGAGCCAAACTGATCAACTGCAGTGGCTTTAGTGCGAGGCAAAGTTGCTGTCTAGGATACTAGATTGATGACTTGACCTGGGCTAGCACGGAATCAAACATGCTAGGCTGTCAAGAAGTCAGACCAATGGGACTAAATCTGCAGGAGGCTACTGGGATTAGACTTGTGTATGCTAGTTTTGAATCTAACTTTCTATATACTTGTTGTGAGTTGTAACCTCTAGATACCACTGTTGTCCAGTTTGAAAGAAAGCACCCATGTTGCTTGTTTTATAAAGCATTTGTACATTCAGTACACGCAGACCCTTGGGATTTCAATTCAAAATGAATCAAAAGTAATTTGCCAACATACAGCTCCGTTAGAGACACGCACATGATATTGTTAGCTTAATCTGCAAATGCAGATTATTGAATAAACCAAACAGGACAACATTAGAAAAGTGTATTTTTAAATGTTTTCTAATCTACGTGTTTGCTGGTGATTGGAGTAGCTCAACGTATAGGTAGAACAAATTACCAGTTTGTTTTACTTTATTTGTGAATGGCAGCCCTCCACGTCAAGTAAAAAAAAACAAAAAACAATATATACAGAGAAATACTCTAAGAACACACCAAAGACAGGGAGAATGGTGAATGTTTTTAATTGGATTTTGAAACAGTCCATAAAGCAGAATTTTATTTTTCACGATCTACAACAGCATTACATATGCCCTGCCTTAGAACCATGCTGAGATTACAGGGTTATAACCAACACACTGCTTAGTGATACACAAAGTTAATTATATGTTGGCTAAATCCTAAAATGGTCAGCGTTGAGGCTTTCTAGAACTGAGGCAGACAAACCTTGTACAATTAAAATCAAATACTCTGGTGACAAATTAATATTTTAGCAATCTAGCAAAACATACCCTCAAGATGTCTGATAGTTACTCCAATTCTATTATTAATTGTAGAGAGCTAAAATCATCAGATGACAAAGCGAACAAGGGCAACTTTGAATTATTACATTTCAGTAGCTTTCTAGACAGAGGTGGCTAAAAAACATCATGGGAGATTCAATTCTAAACTAGTTGTGGGTCTACCGATTGGCCATCCTGCTCTAAAGTGCATTATACAGTCCTCCTGTAGGTTATCGGTTTGAAGGGTAGTATGATTAATAGGCACTTAACATAATTTGGGTGCTCTCGGATTAAGCACTACTGGGTTCAAGCAATGAATAGATACGGTTATATGAGAAATCGGTACTTTCTGTAACAGAA